TTAAGTTTTACGTTAAATTATGGTATATATATATATATATATATATATATAGACATTGACACATTAATTCGAAATTCACGTACTGTTACGTCTAGAATCTTACCACTGGACTGAACTTGATGGGATTTTATCTGTGGTGTGATTCAAATTAGGATAACGATAAAGTTTGTCTCTTACACCGTTTGCTCTTGTGGTGAATGATGAGTATTGAGAAGTCAGTGGTCAGACATCCAAAACGAAGTCACGTAACGTTGAGTGGCGGAGTCAGATAAATTAGCGAAAGGAGTCATAATTTCATTAATTATTATATAACGTAGTTTTTTATAGTTATATATATATTATAAATATATAGTTTTAATCAACTTAGGATTATGTTTATCTTTTAATCAACTTAGGATTAAGTTTAGCAACAAATAAATTAAAACTACGTTAAAAAGCTGTTTAGTTTATAAAAATCCCAACAATATTGTTAGTGCTAAACTAATAGTTAAAAATGAGCATCTATATAAAAAATATAATATATGCTAATATATCTAAATCATATTTTAAAATTTTAATGTTAAAAAGAAAAATAAATCATTAAGTAAATGACACGTGTATTGAAGAGGATCTAAAATATGTTTTAAAGGTTCTATAAACTCTAATTTTGGAGCCTCATTTTTTTTCTCTTGCATATTTCTATTTTCAACTTATTTATGATAAATGTTATCAGGTTACAATTTACAAACTATAGAAGGCTTTTTATTAATCTTTATATTATATTTGTGTATTCAAGAAGGGTCAATAGCTTTCTTGGACATGTATCAAATACTTATTTTACCAAAATTAAACTGAAAGATAAAAAAATTCATGGTGTCATATATATATATATATATGACCCCATGGTTCTTCACTGCTTCCGCCATTAACTCGTTTCTTTATCATCATCATTGTTAATGCTACCATAACTATTATAGATGTGAAAATCAATATAAATGGTATTGATTTCTTTGCATCGACTTATCAGGAATGGAAAAGATACGTAATAAACTTCTCATATGTCCCGATCAGGTTGTGGTTATATAACTTATTATATGGGAACCATATGTTTCCTCAATAATTCAGGGAACTAATTGGATATACAGTATGTATAAGCTAATAGTAATACATATGACATCCCTTGCTCGATATTTTGTTTCTATATTACCTTCTTTTTTTTTTCTATCTCTAGATACATGCTTAAAAAAATTTACGTCCATATAAACAGTTGAGTTAAACATCCCAAATAGAAACAGGACGAAATGATTTGAGTCATTTTCAATGAATCTAGAAACCACGAAAATCTCACAATAGACAAAATCAAAAGTTGGTCCTGTTTTAGAAATAGCACAGCTGCAAAAAGACATACATAGGGTTGAGAGAAAAACAAAACAATAAACGATGTGGTAAGATCAAAACCAATAATTGTTTCAAAAACTCTGATTTATAGGATTTGTTTTTTAAAAATAATTTCATCATTAAATCAATTAAATCCAGATTTTTGGTAAAAAAAAGATGAAAATTATGGATTTAAGGAGATTTAGGAAGAAAACTTTCGCCTCATTTGACGAATGGCTCGTACAACTTCAGATTTATAAGAAGAAACGTTAATGTAATAGCTGATCATCTAGCACGAGAGGCTAGAACAAAGCAATCCTCTATAGTTGTATCATGGTTGTCTTGATGTATGTTTCTCATGTAAAATATTTATATATCTAATAGATCAGTTAGCCGGAAAAAAAAAAGAAAAAACTTTCGCCTCATGAAAATATAGGTCGAGAAACATTGTTTGAGAGAACGTGGTCAAAGTTTGGACTCTCTTGACACGATGTGATAGTTGTGGTGGAATAATAATATGACATTTCCCTATTATCATCGATTGCTAAATAATAAAATACAAAAACAATCACCTCTGATTAAGTAGGCTTTTAAGGCCCATAGTCTATCAAGTTATACTCGGCCCAGAGTCAAGGACATGGCGACGACGTCGTTTTTCATGTTGACTCTGAAATCTGAATAGTTTTCGTTTCCCGAGCAAGACGCAAAAATCAATGATAGGTGCAGTAGCACTAGTGTCATCTTCATCATCTTCTAGATTCTTCTCTTCTTCAATCGGAAAGGCTTATTCGCTCTCTAGATCCTCGATTCCTTCGTTTTCTCGCTTTTCAGTCCGATCAATGGCCGATTCTGCTTTTAAGAAAATCCAGATCCAAAGAGATGACACCGTAAGCTTCCTCTCTTTTGTGTTTTCTATTTCTGCCTGAGTTTTCTTTTCTTTAACTTAGTGCCAATTTTTATGGTTGCGTTTGGTTTATCAGAAGCTCCGATCGTATACATAGTGCCTGATTGTGAATCTGCTGTGTAGGAAAGTATCAGATGTCTCATTTTTAATGGCGGCGTTTCTGCTAACTGGATTGTATAGTGTTGTTCTGTGGTTGAGAAATTGGTTATGAGACTAAGAGGTGTTTATATTTTCTTAGCTACTTCTATAGGCTTGATTTGCTTAACAGCTTAGTATTGTGATATGTTGGTCAGACATTTGATGCCTATGTGGTCGGTAAAGATGATTCGCCCGGGGTTGTGGTGATTCAAGAATGGTGGGGTGTTGACTTTGAGATCAAGAACCATGCTATTAAAATCTCACAGCTTGAGCCTGGTTTCAAAGCCCTTATACCCGAGTGAGTGCATCTTCCAACGCGAGTTTTCAGTTTTGTAAAAAGTACGGCTCTTGGAGTATCTTCTCACAAACATTCATATATTTTGTAGCTTGTATCGCGGAAAGGTTGGTCTTGATACTGCAGAGGCTCAGCATCTAATGGATGGTCTTGACTGGCCAGGTGCCATCAAAGATATCCGAGCTTCTGTTAATTGGCTCAAAGCTAATGGCTCAAAGAAGGTGCCAAGCTTGCACGAAGTGCTTTCCGTTTCAGATTCCATAAAATTCTGTTGAAAAGCAGATAAATTATAATTGTGGTGGCAGGTTGGTGTGACTGGAATGTGCATGGGAGGTGCACTAGCTATAGCTAGCTCTGTTTTGGTACCAGAGGTGGATGCTGTTGTTGGATTCTATGGAACCCCTTCCTCGGAGCTTGCAAATCTAGCACAAGCCAAGGCACCTATTCAGGCCCATTTCGGAGAGCTTGACAATTTTGCCGGTTTCTCTGATGTCACGGTATGTATGCATACCACTACATTATATTTCCAATCATCTGAAAGTTACCGGAGATCCAATCATGATGAATATTCAAGAATTAATTATTACGATCATTGCAGGCAGCAAAGAATCTCGAAGAGAAGCTGAAAGTGTCGGGAGTAGCACACGAGGTGCACATCTATCCAGGGAATGGGCATGCGTTCTTGAACAGAAGTCCAGAAGGAGTGAGCAGAAGGAAAAGCATGGGACTTTCTGATGAAGACGAAGCCGCTGTGGAGCTTGCTTGGTCTCGCTTCAACTCTTGGATGAAACATTACTTGGCTTGAGACAATATGCTTCATGCAAGTCCCGAATCTTTCTGTGATGAGTCCCCATTCATCTCAAATGAGGAAATTACTCTTAGGACTCTTGTCTGAATCAAATAAAGGGGTATACTTGCTTGTGAATCGGTAATATGTGGAAATGTTCGAACCTTTTTTTTATAAATTCGAACCGATATCGACGCCGCTCTCGTCTTTGTGTGTTGTAATGAGTTGGATTCCGGAACCTAAGTAATGATGGTGCAGATGTAGTTTAAATTGAATTACTGCAAAATATGTTATCAGCTTATACTTACTCGATCATAAATACATGGGGGAACACATCCATATCAGTATGGGACAATGTGAACTCGATTTATAAGCCCCAATGTGAGCTCACCTCTTATCATATCAACAAGAACGCGAAAATGATAGGATACCTGATTGTCTCCTTTCGTTATTTATAAAAAATTTTTAAATAGCACGTGTTCAAGCATTGTCTTTGTATTTTTTTTTTTTTGGTTTGTCGGCAAATAGTATTTGTAAAAGTATGTATTAATGTAAGTAGAGAGCCTCCAAAGTCTAAAGTCTAAATGTTGATTAATAGCATAAATGTTCTACAGCTAATCACAGCTGTATGTTTAGTTCCACACAAGTCCTGTTTTATGGCTTCCTACATTGGTAAAAAAAAATATTTTAGCTTCTTCTCTATTTGATTGATAATGTTTTGGTTGGTAAAACATGATAGTCACATTTTTAACGTGAATAATTTATAAATCGTACGCATGAGTTTGATATAGATACATTTATGTATCTTACAACAACCGTACACATTTCATCATCAAAATCTAATAAAAACAAAGTCAAAGAACAAAAAAGAAAAAAAAAAAACTAATAGAAAAAATAATGCAAGCAAAGGGGAAGGACACTATAAGGTACAAACCGAGAATATATAGGCATACAATTACAGATTAATACATGCAACTAACTTATTAAGAAATGAGATTACGTGTTTGATTAATATTCACAAAATCTTTTAGATTCCGCAACTTATTCATCAACTTCATATGATATCTACGATTTCAAAGTTTTACTAATTGCAACTTAAATATTAAAGAAAAATACATGTACGTACACCAGTACATGAGAAACATAATTAAATAGTAAACACGTTTTCGCAATGGTAAACAACGATGTTGAGATCTTGTGGGCGATCTTGTTGATTGAAGTGTAGTGTCGGTTAACAACTTGAAGCGGCTAAAAACACTCGGGGGCCATAAGCTTTGTTCACATTTTCTCACCACATAAGTTTTTTTTTTTTTTTTGGCTCAAACATCTTTTGTACCACATGCCGACAAATTATACCAAATCAAAATATCAAATCAACCGACAAATTGTGATTCTGTAAAACTAGTATGTTTAGTTGTAGAAGAAAGAACCCCATAAAACGTGCATGAGCTAAAGGAACAACCACGCGATTCATGGCCAATGGCAAGTGAGACAAAAAACAATAAGCAACACACACACACACACAAAGCGAGAAACAAATATGTTTTAGAAAACAATATTATCTTTTTCACTATTTTTAATTAGTGGAGTACTATGTTTACCGATAGTCATTTAAAATAATTCACTCTTGTTTTTTCCAAAAAAAAAAAAAACCCACCATGAAAAACATTTACACCCATAAAAGTTGAATAAAAATTTAGAAAAATCAAACCCATAAAAGGATAGAAATGTTACTATGGAATGAGATGATATTACACTTCAATATTTGGAACAGTTAAAATATCATCACACGTTTTGTTTCAATAAATCAAGAAAAAAGCTAAGCCTACACTTAATTTTGTTTTAAAATTTTCATTGTAACCTTTCACCACAAGTATTTTGCTTATCTTTAAGCAAAATTATGAATAATATGAACAGGATTTTAAGAATATATTTTTTGGATAGATTATATCATATTTAACTTGTTTATGAAGTTTTTAAGTTAAATACTGCATATTGAAACGAAATACATATTGACACCGAGAAAATACTATTTCATCAATATTGATTTTTCTAATCATTGGAGATGATTGTTTGGGATGTTATTGGTTGGGTGTCTTTTTCTGCGGACATATAAAATAAATTAAACTATTGTATGACTTAAGAATTGCCACGAGTTTGAGTACCATCGATGACTAGTGTGTAATGTAAGCAAATCGTTTCCAAATAACCAAAAGTTAATTTTCAACATTTAAAGTTTACTTAGCTACGTAAAAAAATTTTATATAAAAATAATCGATTGAAATAAAGTGAACCAGCATTATATTATGGACCATGTAAAGTGGTTTTATAATCCAAAAAAGCAGAAAGATTTATTTTGTTTCTGAAAAAAAAGAAGAAAAAAAAAAAGAGAATATAAGTTCCTTATGTCTTACTCTTGATATCTAGAGTTATATTTTGAAGCAACGAAAGAGGTCTATTTTGCTTTTCTCACGCATAATTAATATATAGATCTGTCTTTTTTTATTTTTATTGATAAATATATTTCTGTGGTTGAGACAAATTTAAAATTAATATGTTGCTTAATGAAACGTAATGATAGATCAAATCAAACTTTAAATTAAACTTTTGAAAATCTGTATATCATAATTTTAAAGAACCAGTAATTTTAAACTCATAAGTTGTATATGTATATAGTTCTTGCGTAACCTAACGTCACCACAAAGCTTAAGGTGCATAAGTGCTTCCTTTTGTTTTCTGAGACATTTTTTTTGGTAATCATACATAATTTTTTTTTTGCTTTCCACCTTTGTTTTGGTTTGCTTTAGTTTGTATAGTGAGATGATGATATATGTAAAGTTGTATACAAAAATAAAATTGAGTAGGTTGTTGCTTGAAGTAGGCGTTGTTGGCCTTTTTACATTCGTCCTTGTTTTCATGCCATTTGTTGTTGCAAACACGCATTAGTTTTACACACTTCCGTATTTAAATGTTTTTTTGTATAGTTGTTAGTCTATCATATATCTTATGAACGTATTGGAAAATCCTACCAAACAACACGGGAATCATACTTGTTTTGTTCGATAAATTAATTCTATAAATTCGATGAGTCACGATTCAACATTAGAATCTACATATATATAAACCATAATTAACCTATAAACAAGTTATGAAAAATCCAAGAATATGATTAACAGTACATTAAGTTGCTTATTACTAGTTTTGATCTATGTTTGCGTTGGAAACTAGAAAACTAAATTTGTTACAACTTGATCAGGTTCGATTTAAAGCCAAAAATGTTACTGAGAGGCATCGGTCGAAGTCTTGACATATCAAACAAACATTAGAATTAGTTTTTGACTTTCTTTCATAACAGAAAATAAAATAATACTAGTAATATCCTTTTTGAATGTGTCAAAAAGCGTTTAATATAAGATGGAAAAAATGCTATATAACATAATGAACCAAATTTTCATTTTACACAATGAAGTTTTTACACACAATTATTCTAAAGCTTACTGGAAGTTAGCTAGCAACCCACTCTGATATTCAGAAATGCAGATAGAGTTTATATGATACGCTATATAACACTTTAACTTTAAGTCTTTAAGTCATTAATAAAATTTAAGTCACTAATAAATGTTTCTTCTGAAAATGAAAAATTGGTTCTTAAACTGATAATGAAATAGCTATTTGGAGTGTAAATAACGAAAGAAAGGTGAGGAAAAAATAAATCATGATTAATTAGCGTAATTAGTCGTGGTTTTATATGTGAACTTGACTTTAATTTGAATGTAAGTTGTAAGTTAGAACCATAAAAGAGACCTAATCATATTTGAAAATGATTGTTTATTTTCTCAAACCTCAACCGATAATGGTGGTTAAAACCACCGCTCTCACTTTCGTTTATTTTTCTTATTTCCAAGGGGGTTTAAAAGCGATCGATGGCTTCATTAAAAAAGAAGCTTCTTAATCTATTTTATTGTTGAATTTGGTATGCTAGTCACAATATTTGTTTAACGAACGTCTATTAATCTAATATGAAACAAGTTGACTAATTTATAGAAAAGAGTTTAATATTATATAGATAGCAGCTTGGTCTCCGGTGGAAATATGATAATCCCATATATTGGCTGTGATTTTATTTAAGGAGAATAAATTGAAGTATCACACAACTAGCAGAAAAAAAGAAAAAGAAATATCCACAGGACATGAATTTTATAAAAAATTAGGTTCTAAATGACAATGTCTTCTTTGCGATTTAGGTTTTAAATGACAATGTCTTCTTTGCAAAGTTTAGAATATAAAGATTTAGGTTCTAAAGTTTGTTAAACTCTTACAGATGATAGAGTCCGTTGAAGATTTAACATGCGATTTCTCTTGCTTTGAGTGTCTTCTTTTATATATTTGAGAAATTTCTTAGGTTAATTTTAGCTTTTATACCACATTTTATACATTTCAAACTACTTTGCTTAGTTTTTTTTTAGCAATCAACCTTCGTATGGGTTGGGTGTAAGTTTTTTCTATTCATATTACTTGAACACAAAAAAAAAAAAAGATAATGACTTATAAATTTTATTTTGTTGGTCAAGATCTTATTAATGTTTTTTCTAGGGAAAAAAAATCAAAATAATAACTGTCATAAACAGATAATAGACCAAAAAAAGATAGATAATATGATAGACAACAGATCAATGACGTTGGCAGACAAGACTTATATTTCAAATAATAGACAAGTCATATATTTCATATATGCAAAAAAAAAAAAAAAAAAAAAAAGTAAGATAGAAACGATCACAAAATGTAAGTACAAAGCTCCAAGTGTGCAAATAATCAGATCAAAAATCTACCAAAGTGCCCAACTTATATATCCTCTCCACTAATCTCATATTATTTTTCCAATACCAAACTCATAAGAAACCACAAAATCATATCAAGAATAATTATTTCTTCCTTTACCACAAAAATAAAACATTAGGCCACTCGTTAACTACCGCGTAGCATCTAAATAAAAAACCTTGTGGACACGTAGCCTCCGACCACATATATATTACGTAACTCTTCTCTACTCTGGTCGGAGCAGAAACTAAAAAGGCTCTCCCGACCAACCAAATCTCAACACGTCATCCTTTCTAGAGACTGTAATCTCAAGAGTACAGCTTCGTAAAAAACGAAAACATAAATTAGAAAAAAAAAACAAATACCACGTCACACCATACACAAACGAACTTTACGTTAGATACGTTTATTCCACTGCCATGTCACACGCCAGTTTGATATTTCACTCACGTTTCTCAATTTTTGTACTCTTGACAAACTTCACATATTCTACACATTTTTTTTTCCTATAACTTTTTGGTTTTATTTTATAAATTTAATTAAATATCGAAATCAAATCAAATCGGGTTACATTTGGTTATCCACCTCAAAAGAAATCCACGTGTACACACATTACAATAACTTATTTTACGTTATTATATTCATAATATTTTTTAAATTTTTTTAACGTTGGTAGATAAACTCGATGTTACCAAAAGTATACACTATCTAATTCACAACAACATAAAAAATAAAAAAATAAAAATTCGTTCCCCCTTATATAAACCTTGTGTTGAATAAGCAGAGTGGAAAAAAGCAAATTTAAACAAACATACAAAAATAACTTTGTTCCAAGGTTTTCTCTAGTCTTCTCCAAATGGAATGGACTAGAGGAAGAACCCTAGGCCAAGGCTCTACAGCCACCGTCTACGCCGTCAAGTGTCACAATTCAGAAGAATTCCTCGCCGTTAAATCCTCCGACCTTCACCGATCAGAGTTCTTGAAAAGAGAAGCCAAGATCCTCTCGTCTATGAATTCTCCTTACGTGATCGGATACAGAGGATCAGAAACCAGGAGAGAGTCTAACGGCGTCGTTACGTATAACCTTCTGATGGAGTACGCACCGTACGGTACGTTGACCGACGCGGCGGCGAAGAACGGAGGAGGACTCGACGAGACTCGGGTCGTGAAGTACACGCGCGAGATACTTAGAGGATTGGAGTATATACACTCCAAGGGGATCGCACATTGCGATTTAAAGGGGAGTAACGTGGTTCTTGCGGAGAAAGGCGAGGCCAAGATTGCGGATTTCGGGTGTGCCAAACGGGTTGACCCGGAGTTCGAGTTGAAGGTAATGGGAACGCCGGCGTTCATGGCTCCGGAGGTGGCGCGTGGGGAGAAACAGGGGAAGGAGAGTGATATATGGGCTGTTGGTTGCACGGTGATTGAGATGGTTACCGGGTCTCCACCGTGGACTGAGGCCACGGATGATCCGGTTTCAGTTCTTTATCGGGTCGGGTATTCGGGTGAGACTCCGGAGCTTCCTTGTTTGCTTGAGGAAGACGCAAAGGATTTTTTGGAAAAGTGTTTGAAGAGGGAAGCAAAGGAGAGATGGACAGCGACACAACTCCTAAACCATCCGTTTTTGGTAACTAAACCGGACATTGAACCGTCTTTGGTTTCCGGTTTGGTTTCTAGCTCACCGACAAGTGTGACAGATCAAACGTTTTGGAGGTCAGTGGAGGAAGAAGAAGAAGAAGAAACAGAGGAACTAAAGAAAGACTCGAGAGATCTAGACCGTTTAAGCTCGTGGGGTTGTTGTTACTCAGAGAGGATCGGACGGCTGAGATGTGTTGGTGGGTTGGATGGACCAAGATGGGATATGGAGGGTGAAGATTGGATTACAGTGAGAGCGAGATGTGAAGGAACAATGATTAGTGTGTGGTCACATGAGGAATTGATTATTTAGTGAAAAATGTATTGGTGTAAATTTGATTTGGGATCGTTTGGGTGAATTATAGAAAGTTTAGGGGTTGATATTAGTGAAGGTCTCCAATTTAGAGGGAGATCAATGTAGTGTATATTAGTCTCCGAATCTCTTCGATTGATCACATGTATATTACTATAATCACGATTTTATTATTAAACCAAACTCATTTTAAAAAAAGTTTGGACAAGAGTTGAAATATTTATATAAGAGAGTTTTCAAGGTTTGTTGGCCTGTAAAAGAGAAGTGTTGAACTATTATCCCATGTTTTTTTGTTTTCACTGTTTTATATTTTGACTAACCAACTTTAGTCTTGGAAATAATATAGTTAAATCATAATGTTCCAAATGTCAAATTTTCTCAATTAGATAACAGATAAATGAACTTGTTTGGTATGCTATTGAGACTTATGAGTGTCAACATATTAAAAACTTGTGGGAAAATGAGAAGTGAAGGAAAGAAAGTAGAAAAAAATTGCCAAAATCGGCCGAACTGGTTCATTGGGTTTGGTTCGTCACTTTGTGTTTCTTTTTTTGAGATTCCTTTCGAATCTTGAAAAGAAAACATGATCCGTGTAATATATTCATTTGTTTCGTTTGGTAAAGCTTCGTTAGGCAAATGTGACGACTCATCAAGCCTTTTGCTTGCACTAGTTCAATGTGTAAATAAGTTGACACCTCACATAACATAGTTAATTACTATTGGATCATTGATTTACAACTTCATTATAGTTACGTTCGCTATATTACTTGATTAATTAGTCATAATTTCATATAGTGATTTTTCTATTAAACCTTTTTCTGTATATATATAACAACAATAGATTTCAAATAATTGGTGTAAAGCTATTAGTAAACTTGTCTTTAGTTACATTTTAGAATCTTCCGATCGTTAAAGACATTATAATGACAACAACAATCTTAGTGAAGATAAGATTAAGTAATGGAAAATAATGGATTGAAGATAAGAATACTTTGCTTGCAAGGTAAGTTCATGTTTGGAGAGTTATCTTTTTTTACTTAGAAGGTGAATAACGAATATAATTTGCTTTTTTGGTTTTGACTATGTTTTGGATAAAGTCGTAACCATAAATAGTATGGGCACATCACTACACGAATGCGTAACTTTAAAGACGATAATATGTCTTATGTATATATTTTATCTCATGGGAAAACTGAAGAGTATTATTAACTTATGCATACGTGCCTAATCTGATTTTGGGATCGATCTTCTAGATTAAGTCTAGTTGGAAAAATGTATTTTTAATCAAAGCAATATAATCGGTATGATGTTAACTAATTAGTTGAATATTTGGACATTATCAGTTACAATGTTGAACTAATTTTGCTCTGTAAAAATATTGGATCATAATATTTTACGTTAAAAATCTTATGTTTGCAGCGATCATTTGCATATGAAAATTATGAATAAATAGAGTTAAAGCATGTAAAGATCCTGCCGAGAGTACGATAAAATTGAACCAAATAGAATGTTCATCAACTAAACAAATCTTGATATGTTTCTACTCTAGATTCAAAATATAATAAAACAGAGAATTAATTTGTGCTTAACATGTTTCTCATTTATTTTCCAACCACTACCTATAATTTTTTGTTAGTTAGTAGAATACAAGATTGTATTCTACTTGCGATTATCAAATGCATCAAATATGTAAAATTGTGTGCTTTTGATGGTGCTTGGAAGAATGATTGGGTACGTTCGCTCTTGTCATATGAATAGTATATCATAGAAGATGTAATACACTATAAAGACTTTGATTGGTTCACAAAAAAAAAAAAAAGACCTTGATTGGTTCACAAAATTAGTAGTTTAGTTTGTAATTCTTAAAAAGTACAAAATTATGTTTGACTAAGAATTACAAACTAACATGGTCAAACCTAGTTTAGTTTATATTTGGGAGAATTTTTCATTAATAATCTAGTTGAGGGGTATTTTCATTAAAATGCTTTACATAAGAAATTTCAATGGTTATGAACAATAGGGATTATAAAATTGTTCTCATATTTTTTTTCTTATTATTAATCTATTCCATAAATGTTATTTTGTTATTGATTTATTCTATATGATACAGCATATATAAGATACAATATTAGTGTTTAGGTTTAGAGATTAAGTCATATATAACCTTTTAAAATCTACTTACCACCTCTAATCAATAAAGATATCTCAACTATAACACCATCTCCGGTAGAGTTTTTTAAACAGTTACTTTTTAATTAAAATAATAATAAATACGAGGAAAAGTATGAGAGTTGATTCCTTAAGTCACTAAAAAACGTTGTTTAAACACTTGTTAGTAGGTTCATAAAAAAACACTTGTTAGTCATCGGTTGATTCGTTTATTAGAAATAATAAAAAAATTATTTAATTAAAATATAAAATTTTAATTGTTTTTTGGGAAACTGTGGATGCGTCTACCATTAGAAGTACGAAAAAGAGATGAGAGAATCTCTTAAACAAGAAATTAAGATAAAAACTTGTTAATATACTCTTGATAATGATGCCGTAAGAACAATGACCCTTTTAAAAAACCTTTCACCACATGTGTAAATTTTTCATGGATTTTATTTAAAAAATATTTATTAAAATTTCATAGATAAATGAATTATATTAAGATATTAATATACATAAGTTCATAACTTCAATTTGAGAACTCTACCAAAGGATGCTCTAATCAGCCATATAATAAACATGTATATACTATATACTAGTATTCATAACATGCCAATGTTTAAGGGTTCTTTTCACTAAATCCTTATTATTAATAATTTATTTTGTTATATTATAATTTTTAATAAATCTTACAATTTAAACATACTGTATCTAATAATAGAATAATAGATTATAGAGTAACGAATTTGTGGCGCAAACAGGATATTATTACAAAAGTATTAACTACCACAAACCCCAAAAATCTTATTCACTTCATAAATCTCTCTCTCTATTAGAGGAGCAAAGTGATAAAAGAGGCAACCATGCGAGGTTTTGTCCGCCACATTCGATAATGATCCATCAAGCTTTAGCTCTCCCTCGTCCAATTCTCACCAGAGGTAAAGGTTTGGTTTTTCATTCCGGGTTTCGCTACTCTCCCATCTTTCTCAGCTAAATCGAGTCGCGGGGTTGTTAAATTTGGCTCGGTCTCGTTCTATCATCTCCTTTGCAATTAGAGTGGCCACATTTTAGTTTTGATTTTCCCAGTATATCTTTATCCCTCTAGGCGAATTCAAATCTGGTTCCCGTCAATTTGAAATATGTAGCTCTGTTTCAACATCGTTTGTGACCTAGAGATTCTTCTTTTTGAAATTGACAGGATTTGGGTCTGATGGTGGATGTGTCTTTGTGCATCAATGCCGAACAAAGAACTCTAGTGTTGTATTCTGCGCTTCTGATGATCAAATTGCTAGTTCCAAGTCGAGCAAGACAAGGTTCAGTTTTTAAAAAATTTAGCTCCTTTGTGTGATATAGCTTCTGTTTATGTGTGTATTCAAGTCTGAGGTTCTTGAGAAAGTTTCTAACTTGGCATTTAGGTTTAACATTCCATACATTATGTTCACTTGGGAAAAGTTTAAAGTTTGCAATTTTATAATCTATGTGTGAACCTTGTCCTGTTATGTTACATAGGAAAGTAGTGGAGCATGTGTCATTAATCAAAGCGAAAGAGGATTTATCTGAGGAACAAGAAAAAGATATGCTTGATTATCTTTACACGACTCAATATCAAATGAGAGGCATTGTTGCTATATCAGTAGGTCAGTGCTCTCATATTCTTGCTTTGGTTCGTGGACTTAGGCGTCTTTAACTCAATTTAGATAGAGAACCGTTTGTGTGTCTGTGTTTATATAACCAGTCTCTGTTGGTTCAATTTACTCTCACAGGTTGTATCGGTGATAGGAACAATGAAGATTACACGCACGCTCTCTTCATGCGTTTCCAGAAGAAGGAAGATCTTGACATGTTCTATGAGAACCCATTCTACTTGAAAGTTCTCAGTGAACGTGTAACACCATTCTGCCATGTATGCCTTTACATGTAAATGCCATTCCTCTCATTAGTTCTGTCTTCTCATCTTCTTCCTCTTCTCTATTTAAATGTGTTTCTGTTGGGCTTTAATGTATCAGGGGTTAGCTAATGTGGACTTTGAATCAGAGGTCGATGATGACATCCTCGCAATATTTCGAAAGGGCGAGGTATGTATGATCAACTCAGCTCATAATCTGAGTTTATCTTTCACAAATGGCCACTTTAGCTCCATAGCGTAAGAGCCAAAGGTTTACTACTATCTAGTGTCATCAAATCATGTAAACAGACTGATCGAGTTACTTCCCATGGTAGGAGTATAACTTTGGCGAAGAGTTTGTTCTTCTAGTTACTTTTGCTAAGAACGCTTCCACCAAGAACATCAAAGATGCAATGGATTCTTTTGCACAGCTAGCTTCATCTCTTCCATCATTAATTGTCCAGTCCACACAAGGTACCTATGAAAAATGAACGTTTTTGCATTTGCAACTATATTTCAGACATAGTTAACACCAATAATTGCCATGTCCAGGTTCAAACTTTAACGACAGTAGTAAGGAATTTACACATGCAGCAGTAATCCGATTCCGTTCCTGTAATCACTTTCCCTAGTCTCCTAACAATGTGCATTCCTCTGTTTTCCTGTCTATTTCTCCTCTCACTCTTGCTTATGCCAACCTGCGCAGTTGATGCCATGGAGATTTTCACTGAGGGCAGAGAGTATAAAGATGTAAGACTAAGATCAGTTGGAACATTGTTACAAAACTGTTCGATTTTTCTAATATATGATGTCAGTGAAGATTAAATAGAGAACTCTTTATCTTTCAGATGTGGAGGTCTAAATTTGAGCCGTTTATTGAAAAAGCACTAGCTCTTCATTTCTCAGTGGATCCAGTGGGTACCGACGTCATGTGAGAGATATCACTAAGCACTGCAACATTTTACATGTAAAGATTTGGTTGCAGTCCATTATATATGAACAAAGTCATCTCTATCTCTTTGACACAACAAAACTTGTTGCAGTCACATTCTTGGTTGCAGAATCTTCTGAACTTTTGTTTTTCTGTAGTCTAATTTGAATGGTTGGTTAATTTCAAGCAGAACTCAATGAGTTCAACTCATAATATAACATTACTTTCACTTTGTTCTTTAGATAAAAAGGACATCTCCCAGTCAGTCCCATAAATGCGTCAGCAAGGCCCAGTTATAGAATAGGATTACAACCAAGTATAATCTTAGTTTGTCCATGCAAAATAGAAAAAATAATGAAAATGAAGTACAAGACAACGATTACATATAAACTTTATTTTTGGTTTTCTCTCACAAAAGAGATTGAAGTTTTTGATAGGGGAACTCTTCTTTTTTCATGCTCCAATTGGCTCCAAGCCATTAACACGACTCATATTTTTGTGTCATACTTGAATCTCTCGATGCCATACTATGTATATAGTTAGATGTTTGACTCCGGATCTTTGAGGTTGATCTCTCTGCATGGAGGAAAGATAAATAATATATCACCAACATACTTTCCTTTAGATTTTGACATGCATAATCTTACAAATTACCAAGTATACCGTTTCGGATAAGTTAGCATTCATCTCATCTGATCAAGTATATAGGATTGCAGGTTTATACTTATTTAGAAAGAGATGATTCGACCAAAGAAACACACACACTTATATATATATATTAGAGGGGATGAATACTGACTTAACCCTAACCGATATAGTTGGCAACTCTAGTATTGCAAACCACAAAACTTTCGAAAAAACACCCTCTCAATCCTCCTTACCCGGCCAAGTGAGGTTCATGAAATGCCTATTATGAATTAACAATATACTTGATACATCATTATTAGCAAGAACACGTAACGAGTTATTTCACATATTACGTACATATACAATAAAGAAACGTGTGCTAATACTTAAACTTAGTACTGTGTGTGTTTTACCCAAAGAAGAATGCATTTGTTGTTTGCCAGTGAAAGAAACTAGTGAAAACAACTAGCCAAGGCAGTAAACTGCAACGAAACGTTTTTACCCCTTAGGCTCTTAATTAGTGGTCACATTTTCATTAAATTATAACAACATTCAAACTATAGCAAATAAGTATTTGATCAATGGTACGTATATATATATATATATATATATATATATATATATATGTGTAGACAGAGAGAGAGAGGGAGAGAGAGAGAGATGGAAGAAAGAGGAAACTCACGTACGTACCATGAGAATGAAGTGATGAATCGGCCGACAAGTCAATGAAACTGAAACATATATATGTTTATATCTTCTTGCTTCTTACCCCATTTTGTCTGCAATTTCAAAGCTTCGTTTTGACATACATACAAGTCTCTAATATATAATAATTAACAAACCACAAATAAGTAAATCCAAGAAAGCAAAAAGATTGTTTATTTCGTTTCATTAGGTATATGCAAATAAATAATATATAAAGTATATATAAACTTAGTGATGAGCATGCTTACGGGTGATGTATATGAAGAATGATAAACACCATAGAAAGTCCCAGGTTCATTGAACCTGGTTGCCCTTTTGTGCACACCCACAAAGGAGTAGGGAGTGCAATGCGGGGAAAAAACAAGAGAGTGGGTCGACATTTATTTATAGACTCTTTCTATAACTCTGAATGGAGACGAACCGTCCAATGAGCTGCAATTTTAATAATACCGAAAATGTGTATTTATATAAATATTTGTGTTACTTTTGAAACATAACCGCACTTCTTCTCCAATTGTTATCCGTACGTTATATATTTATATATATATTGGAGTTTTATTGTTTTAAACTCTTAATAGATCTTTTTGATTATTTTGTATATAAAAATAATTTTAATTCTTTTTACTAAATTATTGACATACATATGTAAAATATCGAAAGCACGTGTATGAAAATATGTAGTGACAAATGAGCTATAACTCATACGAGAATCTAAAATATTATAGACTTAAAAAGTTTCTTCTCCCCCACTCAAATTTTAGTATGGCCTAAATTCTAGGTCTAGTCATTATTCATGTTATACACTTTTGTAGTACCGTATTAACTTAAAAGAAGAAAAAAAAAATCACTTTAAATAGTAAGAATTTTGGGAAGATGACCTAACCTAGAATACAATCAAGTTCAATCAAATATGATAAATATACAAAATGGACACGTTGTTTTTATTCATGACACCCAACTTGCGTTAGGTCTTTTAGTTAGTGCAACTCTCTTTTTCTATCTTTTTCAAAGGTTGCTTTTTATTTGATGTTACTAGTTAGTTATCTAATATTGCATATTAATATAAATTATTTATTATTGACAAAAAAAAAAATTATATATATATATATATATATAAATTTTTTATTAGTTAATTTGTACCATTAGTTGGATTAGAAATGCCATAATTCAAACAATGCTTTAATAATTTATTCTGTGTTTTAGATTTAGCATCGGGTTTATATCTTGGTTTCACCGAAATATCCCACTAAATCACAAAATGAACAAGTTGTATAGTTCACGTACAGAGAAAACACAAGAGCAAATTAGCCAAGCGTTTACTTTAAGACAGTATACAATGGGTGGATTTTATTTAAACTTAAACATGTTTTTGATTTTTTTCAAAGAAATATTGATATCCCACATGAAAATTAGATATTCTGCATTATTGTAGGTTTGAACGTTGAAGAAAGAAAGAGGTTCAAGATTACAGTAAAAGTGTAACACTTGATCCGACAAAGTTTCGTGTAAAAGTAGATTTAGAGTGTTTGTGTCTGTTCAAAGTTCAAAAGTTCAAACCTAGTTGATCACGTGCCCACCAAACCTTAGAAGTTACAATTTGCAACGCAATTGGCTTCTTTGGATTCTCTTTACTCTTTTTTTATCCACTTAGATATTTTCAACCAGTATTATTAGGATATACTACAGAAATTTTTATTTTTACGTCAAAAATTTTAACATTTTCTCGACGGTATCTCCATTTTATTTATAGAAAAAAATAGAAAACCAGCTTTTTCTATCATATCAATTTAGATAAAGTCCGAACTTTGACTTCGATGTATATATCTCTGGAAAATAAATTCGTCTTTTACATTCTATGAAATAAAAGTTCTAAACTTAATTCCATCCAAAATTAAAGTTCGAGATTTAATTAAACTTAGTTCTAGGGATCATACCATTGTTTAATCCAAAGTTTGGGGATTGAACCATTCTTGTTCACCCCGTATTGATTAACTAATCAAAATAAAACGATATGCCATGTCATATTATATTAAAAATAAAACAAACTTTAACCCCCAAGTCCAAACCGAATTATTACAAAATCTAAACCCTAACTATATCAACCCAAACATAATTTCGTCTAATTACAAAATTTAAACTCTAACCACTATTTTGTCAACTCAAACCGAAATATAATTTCGTTTAATTACAAAATCTAAATTCTAACAACTAATTTGTCAACCCAAACCGAGATATATTTCCTTAATAAAAACTTAATAAAAATCCTACAAAATTTGTTTTCTTAATTTGCTTTATTTTTTTATTTTAATTTTGATTCACGTTCTATTGATACGATAGTTCTATCTAGCTCGTTTTCCCTAATAAAATCATAACGATAGCAAACTTTGTATACTTCGCTTTCCTGGACATTAACTCTATAAATTTCCACAAAGTTCTTAAATCTTTGGTATAAAGATTGCTTTTCTAAAATCAAAATATTATTCATTGCACAAAAGGAACGGACCCATAATTCCAATCTATATAACTTATCACTCGTTTTCAAGTATTCGACTCCTCTGCTCTTTTGAAAACTTGTTCTACCCCAAGAACCATTCATACCTTAAACATATTTGGGCCCTAATGTCCAGTAATATAAGTTCATTAAAGAACAAAATCGATGCTGATGTTTTGTCTGTAACAAGGCCCATAACCAAAGTTTTTGAGAAGAAAAAAATATTCGTAGAGAGATTAGTGTTGTGTTGAATTGAATCACATCCACATACACAAACTCGAAACAAAAAAAGCCAAAGCACACGACTCTTCTGTTTTACTCGGTTTATTATTATCTCTTCTTCTCTATCATCAATGGCTCCAATAGTACCACTTCACCGTACTTCTAAAAATTTCCACTTCTCACGAAACCATGCTATTAAACATCTCTTCTTCTCCAATCTCTCTTCGAAACCCTCACTTCCTCTCCAGTTTCAACAACCCCATCTCTTATTTCCCTCGACGATCCAAAACCCATCTCTCAAAATCCCACCTTTTCCCAAATCTCTCTGCTTTATCCAACCATAGTCTCAAAAACAGAGTCTTGTTCGGAAACAAGAGGTGCCCAGATGGAGAAAGGAACCATTTTAGGACAAGAGCAATCTCTGGGATTGATTTGGGTAGCTTTGAATCTGTTCTCGAAGCTATTGCTGTTCTCACTGCGATCATCGTCGTCCATGAATCAGGCCATTTCCTTGCGGCTTCTCTTCAAGGGATCCATGTGAGTAAATTCGCAATTGGGTTTGGTCCGATTCTAGCTAAGTTCGATTACAACAATGTTGAGTATTCGCTTAGGGCTTTCCCGTTAGGTGGGTTTGTTGGTTTCCCTGATAATGATCCGGACAGTGAGATTCCTATTGACGATGCGAATCTGCTTAAGAACAGACCAACTCTAGATAGATCTATTGTAGTTTCAGCTGGAATTATCGCAAATGTGATCTTTGCTTATGCCATAATCTTTGTTCAAGTGTTATCTGTTGGTTTGCCTGTACAAGAAGCCTTTCCTGGTGTTCTTGTTCCTGAAGTTAAGACCTTTTCTGCTGCTTCTCGTGATGGATTGCTTTCGGGGGATGTTATCCTCGCTGTGGATGGTACTGAACTGTCTAGAACCGGACCTGACGCTGTCTCCAAGATTGTTGACATTGTTAAAAGAAACCCGAAGAGTGATGTGGTGTTTAGGATCGAAAGAGGGAATAAAGATTTTGATATTCGGGTTACACCTGATAAGAACTTTGATGGGACGGGGAAGATCGGTGTTCAGTTGTCTCCAAATGTTAGGATCACTAAGGTGAGACCGAGGAATGTTCCGGAGACATTTAGATTCGTGGGAAAGGAGTTTATGGGGCTGTCGTCTAATGTTTTGGACGGTCTAAAACAAACGTTCTTCAACTTCTCTCAAACAGCAAGTAAAGTAGCAGGTCCTGTGGCTATCATTGCAGTGGGAGCAGAAGTGGCGCGATCAAACATCGACGGGCTTTACCAGTTTGCAGCGTTGCTGAATATCAACCTTGCGGTGATCAATCTCTTGCCTTTACCGGCTCTCGACGGTGGAACACTGGCATTGATATTGTTGGAAGCGGTTAGAGGAGGGAGGAAGCTTCCTGTAGAGGTGGAACAAGGGATAATGTCTTCAGGGATCATGCTTGTGATATTCCTTGGATTGTTTCTCATCGTTAAGGACACACTTAGCCTTGATTTCATCAAAGAAATATTGTAGTTATCTCCTTTGCCAAAAGAAAAACTGTGTTTTGAGGAGGATAAAGGGAAACTTTAGTGTGAAGGAGTTGAGGGTTTAGATCAAATTTGGATTTACAACATAAACACATGGTGATATGGTACATATTCATGTAATAGTTCTACTCTTCTTATCCGTTTTATAAAAGATGTGTTTGTAAAGAAAATCGTTGGAATTGTTGTGTAGACAAGTATCAGTACAATGTGATTACCAAATTATAAAACTGATTGGTAATCCCAAATTGATAATGTGAATCTTCCATAATGGTAAACATATTTACAGGCCCAAAATTTTGAATTGCACTTGATATCTCTCAAACATATACTAGGACCGACTCACGCACTTCATCTATTAGCTTGTTGGGTAAGAATGGGACAACGACATTTTCTTACGAAAGGATCTTAAAGAACCACATAAAAGAACTTGTGAAATCAGCAAGCAACGTATTCTATACAACAAGTACAAAAACTTAATTAATATAGTAATATGGTCAAATGAACCTGGTAAGGCTTCTGAAATTGATGTGAAAGAATCCAATGGATGGGCTAGATCGATGGAATTGATTGACAAATTACAATAATCCATTACAAATGTTCAAAAGTAATATGTAATAATAAATCCGATTTCTTTATAAAAAAATGAAATTCACTAATATGTCAAAGTTAATTATAAACTAATTATTATATGGTCTGATAGGTTTTAATCAAGGCATTGTCGATCGAAAAAATGGAAAAAAACAAGACAAAAATATTTGGGTTAAAAGTTATTAACCTTTAATGATTTGCACCAAATTCATGTGTTAGAATTTAGTTAGTTTCATATGGAAAAAATAATCAACTGCATTCGTATTCAGCCACATGTGTTTAGCTCGTTAGTTATGTATAAAGTTTTTGAAGATAAACCATATTATTATAAACTTTTACAAGTCAACATAATTGCTAGGTCAGAATAGAACTTAAACCTATACATAAATAGCCTTATTATAGATGGATTCCAAAAGAAAAAGAAAAAGAAAGATAGCCCTATATTAATCAAGTCCACTGACACTCTTCACAACTGAGTAACATATATTATAATTAACAAGGTTTTGAGCTATAACTTACATATGAATGTAATAAATTATGTGGGACTTTTTGATCAATATCTCTGTCATAATCAAATGTAAATAAATTACCAACATTAATTAGTGGTAATTCAACTGATGTAGGATAGAACAGAACATCTAAGTTTCATTTAAGTTTTTTATAGTTTTAAATTAAAATGGTATAATTTTACACATCCTAAAATCAAAATAAATAAATTTTAACTTCTTTTACTTAGAAGTACATATTCCTGAGGATGGTTGATGATATTTTGATAGGCGGATTTTCTATGTATAACGTAACTATGCCAATAGTTCTAGTTAAAAAAAAAAAACTTAAAAGATTTTCACTAAATACATATGTTTATCTTTCATTTTTTTTTTCAAATACAGAACAATATTAAATGCATTCAACATTATTTTATTCTATTTTATTTTATTTGAAGGAAAAAGTTATCAAACGCGTTGAACTTTTGAATAGAGATTATGAATATACGATAAAATATTAATTATTAATTATGCGGTTAAAACTCTTAACATAAATTAGCAGAGCTGTAAATGAATAGAAAAAGAAAGTTAGGAAATCTTTGAAAGAGGAGTGTTTTAATACAATTTTAAACTTTGGGGGATGTTTTTTCTCTTAAAAAGAAAGAAAAGAAAAGAAGTAGTAATTGCTTATAAGACTCAAACTCTTATGATAAATAAAAATGTGCCCATATGAAAAGGTGATCATGCCAACGTAATTTTGCATGAAATATCGCATAAAATGACCTTTGATTTATCTATCATTTTTCCTCTACCCTAGAAAATATATAGAAAACTCATTACATTTCTTTAATTTCGTCATTTATAATTTTAGAATTTAAAAAAAAAAAAAAAGAGCAAGAAGAAAGACAAAAAAAGGCGTAAAGAGACAAGTAAAATAAATGTAAAGAGAAAAACGCGTCTTTGAAGAGAAGAGAAGAGAACGTCCCATTCCATTAGGCATGCATAGCGCGGCCGTGAAACAAGCTCACTCCTCTCCTTTTTTATTTTGCTTCTTCAATTCTTCTTCTTCTTTAAAATAGATATATTTTATCTTATATCTTATCAAGAAATGAATTTACTTTGCTATAATTTGAGATTTATATATGTTACTACTTCCATGGCTTTTTTTTATATATATGTTAAGCTTCGGTCATAATAAATTAATTAATTTGCCTATGTTTCACAAAAAGTTTATTAGTAGGTGGAACAAGTCATTATCAATTAGATTCTCTGTTAACATCAATTAAACGGCTTTGACTAATTGACTATGGATTCTTTGAGAACGATTTCTAAAACACAAAACTATCTTTGTAACTTTGTAAAGCAATAATAAAAAGAGGTGATGATAAAGTAATTAAAAATGATAATATCATAATTAGCTCCTCATCACACACAAGTTTTATCATCTCTAATATATATGTCTACAGACAGACAATGATCTTATCTCTCTCTCTCTCTTCAACTCTTTCTGTAATGTCTTGAAACCTCTCTGTCTTCTCTCTAATGAAAGACATAAAAGAGAGAGACGAAGAAGAAGACAAAACAAGGCATTAAAAAAGTTTAAATAACAACAAATTATTACGTAATAATTAATTAATTGAAAATACAAAATTTATATTTATAATTTACTTCCAAAAATATACACCAAACACCCCAAAAATAATACCTCCTTTTTCTCTCTATATATCTAATACCATAACACACGAAAATAACTCATATATACAAATATTTACACAAATATACAAAAACATCGTATATATCAACAGAGAGAAAAAAAAAATCCTTTTTTTCTCTTTTTGCCTCCTTGATCGGAGGGTCGTCGTGTTCCATATATAAAGATGGACGGTGGTTGTGAGACAACGGCGACGGCGACGATGGAGGCAAGAGGGTTGAAGAAAGGGCCGTGGACGGCTACGGAGGATGCGATCTTGACGGAGTACGTTAGGAAACACGGTGAAGGTAATTGGAACGCCGTGCAAAAGAACTCAGGTTTGCTCCGGTGTGGCAAAAGTTGCCGTCTACGGTGGGCTAATCATCTCCGGCCAAATCTCAAGAAAGGATCTTTTACTCCCGATGAAGAAAAGATCATCATCGAGCTTCACGCTAAGCTTGGTAACAAATGGGCACGCATGGCTTCTCAGGTTTGTTTTTTTGTTTTCCTTTTTTTTTCTTTCTTTTTTCATTTAAGAATTAAAAACAAAATAGGTTTCTTGAATTCAAGAAATGAAAGGCTTAAATATTTTATTTGCAATTTGTTTTTTTTTCTTTTCTAATTAACACACACAATTTTCATGATTTAATGTGTTTCAACTTCTCTCTCTCCTGGCATGATTATTAATCTTGCATCTCTAATTTTTTTTTGTTTGATGATTCTTATTTTTATTTTTCGATGTATGTATAGTTACCAGGACGAACAGATAACGAGATTAAGAATTATTGGAACACAAGGATGAAGAGAAGACAACGAGCTGGTTTGCCTTTATACCCTCATGAGATTCATCAGCATCATCAAGAGATTGATAATGATGATGATGAGTTTGAGTTTGATTTGAGTTCCTTCCAGTTCCAAAACCAAGATCTTCATAGCCAACAAAATATGATTCAATACACTAATTCTTCTAATACTTCATCATCCTCCTCTTCCTTCTCTTCTTCCTCTTCTCAACCTTCCAAAAGGATGCGTCCTGATCCTTTAGCCGCCTCTACTAATCCCGGCCTGATGAACCCGATCCCTGATTCATCAATGAATTTTCAAATGTTCTCTCTTTACAACAATAGCCTTGATAATGACAGTAACCAGTTTGGTTTCTCTCTTCCTTTGTCCTCATCATCCTCGTCCAACGAGTTATGCAACCCCAACCACAGCATCCTTGAGTTCATCTCTGAGAATTCGGACACAGACAATAACATTAAGAGAGAGATTGATGCTTTGAGTTATAGTTCATTGCTTATGGGAGATCTTGAGATGAGACCGCGTTCTTTCCCTTTAGGACTAGACAACACCGTCCTAGAGCTTCCTTCAAACCAAATACATTCCCATTCGTTCTCTTCTAATCCTATTCTCGACAATGGTGTCCATCTTGAGCCACCTGCGGGGAACAGTGGACTGCTTGATGCCCTCTTGGAGGAGTCTCACGCCTTGTCTCGTGGCGGACTTTTCAAGGACGTTAGGGTTTCCTCATCAAGTGATCGATGTAAAGTTCAAGACGAGAGGATGAAGATGGAGTTTGAGGATCGGCTAACAAATCATCTAAACTCTTCTCATCCATCATCATTTGGTAAGAACACATACTTCAAACTATTTTCATTTTTTGGTATAATCATTTCTTGTTGAGTGGAAATATTTAAGCAAGATTATAATTAGATTTTTGGGGTTTTTGTTTTAAAGAAATCAAATCAGTAATGAAGTGAAACTGAATCTAGTGTGGATTCTTTGGTTATATCGAAGACAGATATTGAAGTCTTAGGTCTAAATATTAACTCGTTTAATTTTTAATTAGTGTTTAGTAATTTACATAACTTGGGTTCAACGAAACAGGAACAAACCCTAATATTCACAAGTACAATGAGCCACCAATGGTGAAAGCAACGGTGGATGATGATGACGACGACTTATTGATGAGCCTTCTCAACAGCTTCCCTTCAACAACGACACCGTTGCCTGATTGGTACCGGATGACAGAGATCCAAAACGAAGCCTCATATCTTGCACCACCGAGCGGATCAATTCTTATGGGAAACTATCAAGGTAGCAGCAGGGTGGAACCAGCCACGGTGCCACCTTCGTCCAGTGTAGATCCCACGGCATCGTTGGGATCATGCTATTGGAGCAACATGCCTAGAATCTGTTAACTTGGAACCTCCTCCTCCTCATGAGCAGAACAGAATCATTTCTTTGTTTTGGAAAGAGAAAGCTAATTGTGTGCTTAATTTGTCTTTGGTTGTGTAAAATCTTTTTCAGAGTATTCAATTTGGGATGTGCTATGAACTTCATGTTAACATGCTTTCAAGGGGGCTAAAAAAAACAAAAAGAGAAATATAAAAGTGATGAGACTGAGATTTTACTTTCGCATTTTTTTTTGGGTTAAATCATGGTACTAATCGAACGTTTAGCTTAATAATAGATGTTTTCAAAGAAATATATAATTGACCCTTTTCTTTTTTTTTGGGTCTAAATCTAAGCACAAAACAATCTCGTGCAAAATATGAAAATTGATTATTACTTTCGCAAGTGGGATATAAATGTGAATTTTTCTAACATAATTATTTAAAAATTAAAATGATGGTTTCTTTTATCTACTGGTCGTCCATAATCTTTGTATATTGAAAAAACCTCTACCAAACTCGAATGTCAAATTTTGAGCAATGGAACTACTAATTATTTGTAGAGTACACAGCCTAAAAACATATGAATGTAATTTGATTATTTAGCAAGGAGAATTGATAAATGACACAGGTACGTAAGAAGCAAGGAAGAGCTATAGAGAGTAGAAAAAATAGGGGAGGAGAATGTGATTGGGCAAGTGAGACGACTTAGTTGCATCCATCCACTACTCTGCCATTGGCTTATGTCATTTGCATATTATTTCCTTAAATTGAGGAAAGAAAATTGAAAATGAAGATGATAATAATGCAATGCAACTAGTCCAATATACATTACATATATACTGTTATTTTTTCTGAGGTTCCTTAGTCTTCTTTTTGTACTTTGCACCTTATCTGAGTTCTGACATCACACTGCAGTTCTTAGATCATATAAGTCTCTTTATTTCTCAATTTATCTCCTTTTCACATCCATAATATTTTCTATTTTATCTTAGATAAGTTGATGTCACTCGTGATGACCCCAAAGCTAAGGAAATAAAACGTGACCCTCAAAATATGGTTTTCTTTTCTTCTCGAGTTCCTAAAAATTAGTAATGATTCTCTAAAATGTCATGTCATATATAATACTGAATCAAATGCAAGAAAAAAATAAAGAAAAGTACCACCAATCTGTAAAGGCCAAAGTAAAAAAAAAGACTCATTCCAAAATTAGCATCAATATGAAGCTAGTGATGCCATTATGACATTCTAAATTCTGAACTGTCTGAATCTGACAATTCTAGTCTTCTAGATACTGGATTTGTCTGAACCTTGACAGACAGGTCTCTTATATAAATCTATTTGTTAGTTTGGAAAAGTTGACCAAGCCTGAAATTCTGAACATGTCAGAAATTACATTCTGAAACTGTACTCCATTCATGACCATTGACAAAATTAGGTCATATTAATCTGCAATTGTGTGTGTCAAAAAAAAAAAATAATAATCTGCAATTGAGTGGCAAAAATAATCAAACATTAAGAGTACAAAAAGGAATCACAGTTGCTCACCAAACAAACACTTCATCAAAACTATACACACAACTTAAAAACAAAATAATATGGTACAAGCTAAGTAACAATAAGAACAGTGGAAATCATAACACACAAAAACAAAAAAGCTTCTGGATATGTTTTAAGTGGCTATTGTTTTTTTATGAGACTGCATTGAAAAACAAACACATTTAGCTTTCATGGCTTCCACTTCACTCCCATATTCTCTGAATTTATATTCCTCCTGCTGTTTAAACGTTGGAAGGATCTTACCTTCGCTGTAACATTGGTTACAGAGGCTAAACCCGGTTTTCACTTCCTTAAATCGTGACCCGATAACCGGATACCGACATACTGAACAAACCTGGTTCCCATGCCGATTCCTATCTCTTGTTTCGAGTTTCACAACAGTTGACATGATACCAAACCCCCACTCTGAATCATCGTACATCCCTAGAAACTGGTTGAATGTTACTGTTGAAGTATCATCAGTTTCCCCATGAACTTCTAACATTTCGCTCATTCCTTGTGACGGTATGTAGATAGCTCTCAAAAGTTTGATGTATTTGACTGCTTCCGTCTTTGTAATCTGTGAACTTCCTTCATTTACCGGTTTCCAAAGAAGCGCATCGAATGCAACCCTTTTCCTTTTGTCTGGATGGCCACCGCATAAAGGAGCAATCACCGCGTAAAACATTCCTAAATCAACTCTTCCTGACCCTGAATCATCGAGTACTGAGAGGATTTTCTCGTTTATGGCCTTAATCGCTCCTTGAAAAGATTCAGGTTTTAGGACATTAAGCAGACGACGGAGAATCTCTTCTAAGTTTGGTCTCCTTATAGATTTTGTGGGACCTCCATTCCCGGAATAAGATACAGGAACATTATTGTCTCTCATCTCTTTTCTTAATGCTTCAACATCGCATTTCCAGAGCCTTGTTACTCTCTGGAAGGCTCTTATTTGAAGAGCTATGGCTAAATCTGGCCTTAAAGTAGTCTTCTCGCCTACCGTCTTGAATCTGGAAGGTTCCACAATGATAAACGGACCTTCTTCGTTTGCATTAGTTCCGTTTTTGAGCTTTTTCTTCTGCAACTGTTTCAGATGAGATACTGCATCGTGCAACTCAACTCGGTTTGTCATTTTCAGAGCCTCCTTTAAAGCCCTTTTAGCTTCTTCGGTCTCTCCTGCACCCAACAAAGACACAGCCTTGTTGAGCTGAGCCCGCCAATGATTAGGCCACACCCCTAAAACTCTAGTGTACATCTCTGAAGCTCTCTGAAACCTACCCAAATCCATATAGAGCCCACCGAGGTTATAAAGAGCATCAACATGACCAGGTTTCAAATCTATAGCTCTCTGGAAAACCTCAATAGCCCTCTCATCCTCACCCATAGCATGAAGCGACGAAGCCAAATCACAATGCGCATCAGCATAATCCGGTTTTAAATATATGGCTTCCTCTAGAGCTTTCACAGCAGCTCTATACTCTCCTACACCAAACAGAGCACTACCTAGAAGCTTCAAGGCTCTATAATGCGTTGGACAAAGAATTGCAGCCTCTCTATAATACTCACAAGCACTCAAAACCATACCTTCACCTTCAAGTGAGATACCAAGATTAACATAAATCTGAGGAAGCAAGTAAGCCCATTGATTCCCACCGGACTCTGCAGCTTCCAACGCCAACAAAAACTCGTCTTTCGACTCTTTATACTTCCCCAATACATAAAGACAATTCCCAGCTTTGAAATGAGGTCTCACATCCGTCGGTTGCAACTCGCAAGCTCTCTTGAAGCTAACAAGAGCTTCTTTAAACAACTGATGCTCATACAAAACCCTACCAAGAGCCATATGTCCATCAAAAGCTTCCTCTCTTGATCTAGCACCATCAGCTTTACTTCTCAACACTCCTAGTTCCTTCACAAACACAGCGTAATCGTGACTCGATTCTTCCCAATATATTCTCTTATCCGAAATATCCGAAGACGGACCTAACTCCCTAGACCATCCAGCATCAGAAAACGCATCCACATTACTATTATTATTATTATCCGCTTTCATTTTCCCGTCTTTCTCCTGCTTAGACTTCAATCTCTTCACCAAAATCTCCAAATCATCAACAAGCTTCCACGTCTCATCGAAAACGATTCCATGGTTCGGCGAAACCGCCCAAGCCGCCGTCCTCTGCTGCTTCTGTGCCTCGACAGCTCTCTCGTCAGTAATCGAAGAAGACGAAGCTTCGGAGCTACCCTTTATCTCATCGGCGTTGAGCTCAATCGCTAAAGCGTCGAAATCACGATCAACATCACCGGCTCCGTCGTCGTAAGTACGGAGAAGACCGTCAAAGGTCAAACCTTTATCTCCGTCGATGAATTCAGCGTAGGTCCGAAAGACTTCGTCGAGAATTGCGCTGATTTGTTCGTCGCTGAATTTAACCCTAGGGTTTACAGCTACGACGAGAGCCGACATCTCTTCACGGCTTAGCCCACCGTCACGATTCCCGTCGAATTGCTGGAAAATTCTCTTAACTTTCTCCGATCTGCTTCCTCTGGTCGTCATTTTTTCCTCACCGGGAAAGTTTAAAAATCCAAACTTTATTCTTTCCCCCACGAAATCAGGACTCAAAATGGATAAAGAAGTAAAACACAACAGTCGAGAAAAACAGCAAAAAAAAGTGAGAATCCAATGTAGCAAAACACGAAATTGAAACACTAATTACAGATCAATATCGAAGCTTTGTCGGGAGAAAAAGTTGCTATATTTAAAGAGGAAGAGGAAAAAGGAAGAAGAAATCAAAATGGGTACAAAGAGTCCGAGCTGTCTATTTGTTGTCTCTGTATAAAAACTCATCAGATAGTGGACAGGAGATAACGGTGTTGTTGTTGTTGTACTCTGTTTCTGCTCTGTGTGGGCTTAATTTTTTATTTTTAACAATTCTTGATTTCTTACAAAATATTTGTCTTTTTAATTCCAGAAAAGTAAGTACAACTATAAAATAATTCAATAGTCAATACCAACAAATTGAATAGGTTGATAATGAACATGTCAATTTAATTCTCAACTTGTATTAATGATATAGTGTACTAGTTATTTAGATAAGGGTATGAGAGAGATAAAGAGATAAAATGATGCATTATTTGGCTAATAAATGCGAAATTAAAGACACACCTTTATGTTTAGTTTACTCAATTCACACTAACCTTTATGTGGTAATCAAACTAGATTTTAATTCAGGAAATTTTGATTTTCCTTTCTTCTTTTTATCCTAATGTATTATAACCAAAATTTGAAGAAAAATCCTTCAAACTATAATTGGATACACATAATATGTTTGCTAGTAAACCAAATTCACAAAACCGAACTGGTTTGGATCATTCTAAGAGAAGAGGGAGACAATGGAAAACCTGAGAAGAAGAAGCTTTTACATTTGGTCTACTAGTTTGCAGATGATTACGCCGTCGTTTTGGTGATTCTTGCTAAGCAATTATCTTTGGGCCGATTGTGAGGCAAGAACATCACTGGACACTCGGGATTGCTCCGTTCCACGCTGCGATTTCGCCATTGGAAACAATTCATTATGAATTCTGCAGCTATATGCAGAGTGAGAACTAGTAAAGCTGAGCTATATACACAGAGAGAGGGAGATACCGGTATTTGAGGAGAAAATGATGAAGGAAAATGGAAATCTCAAGCTTGGCAAGATCGTTTCCAGGGCAGAGATGGCTTCCTAAACCAAAAGGAAGGAATGTGCCTGCTTTTGGTGTGTATCCCTGTAGAATGAACCAGACAATGTTCACTTACTTTTGACATATAAGAGATTCCATCACCAAATACAGTTTTAAGTAGAACGCTATAACTCGGTTATCTCTACAAACCTCCCATCTTGAAGGATCAAATTTCTTTGGATCCGGGTAGATCTCAGGATCCAAATGAACGTCCCTAAACCAAGTCAGAACTTTCCAGCCTTTTGGTATGATATAGCCTGACCCAAAAAAACATGAAAAATGAGTATATACAAGTTAAAAAAAAATTTACCGTGTTCCATGTAGCTAATGAGTATACTGACCATTTATTTGGACATCACTCTTTGCTTCCCGGAAGGCCGTCAGAGAGAATGTTATTATTCGAAATGTCTCATCAATAACCTGGAAAAACATCTTCTATCAGTAAACCACTGTTAAAAATCATACCATAATATGGTATAACGCAGAAACTTGACCTGAGACAGATACTCCATTTCACGCGTCTCTTTTAGAGTCAACTTCTGACCGGGCGCCCTCTTTTTCACGATCCTCTCTTGTTCTTCCTATGGTAAAACAAATACACAACTCAAGATTAAAATGGAAAAGGCCAAAAAAAAGAAAGAACATATCTTCTCATTTACCTTTGCCTTTTGTAGAATCTCAGGGTGTTCATGCATCAAAATGGTAGACCACATAGTGAGGTGTCCAGAAGACTCATGACCAGCATTAAGATACATCAACAAAACATCAATAATCTCCTCATCATCTAAAGTTCTTCCATTTTCATCTTCAACATCTATTAGATTATCTAACATGTCTTTTCTATTGGATGAAACATTCTGCTTCCTTTGGTTTCTTCGGTTGGTGACGATGGACTGAAACACAGCTACAAGTTTCTTCCTTGCCTGTATAAATGGAAGATACTAATCGTCATATCCCAATGGATATGCAGAAATGCAAACAAAGTGGGAAAAACGGTTGCTTAATGTTCACCTTTAAAGCTCTGTGATAAGCAAAACCAGGAAGATTAATACCCATAGCTCGAACTCCATAGTTAAGGTTGGTATATTCCCGTTCCAATGCATCCATGACATGCTCACTCTCACTGCTGAGAAATATGTACATAATGACCTTAAACGTAAGCTTACGCAAATGAGATAAGAACTCGATTTCTCCCATTTTGGACCACTTTTCTAGATCAGTAATAACAGTTTCTTCAATGTACTGTATGTAGACAGAGAGAGCTTCAGGGCCATTCACAGGAGCAGAAGTCAAACGCCTGAGCCGCTTGTGTTCTTCATAAGAGATACCGATAAAGGACTTCCTGCCAATGAGTTTCATGGTGGATTTTGGCCAACCAATCTGGAAGGCATCATCATCAGTTAGTACTCGTCGACAAGTCTCTGGTGTTGTTACTATTACACATGGGTACCCAAACATGTGTGCTTTATATATACCGGTACGGCCATACCTGCATCATTGAGGAAACGGAGTGTGTCTAAGTTATCAATTATGATATGGAGGAGCAAGACAGCGAAAACAAAATATCAACTAAAGCAAAACTATTGGAAACTGAGAACTTTGTGAAATAGTTTGCGAAGAGAGACCGATGTATATATTACCTTGTGTTGTAGGATCGGATGAAGGATTCAGGATCAGATGTTTTGAAAGCTCTAAGAAAGGACCACATGTTGCCTATGACAGGCCATCCCAAATCTCCTGGTGGCAGATAGTGTTTTTCCTCTCCAAGTTTACACTCATAAATCCAAACATTCACTCTCTTCAACACCCATCTCAAAACAAACAATCCCAATACTATAAAAGGAAACCACATGAGAATGAAACCCGTTTCAGTCATAATTTCACCTGTAAACACTCCCCTCATCTGGTCCCTTGTATTCTCTGGATGTTATATCACACCCTGCAGATAGATTAAAGTGGTGAGAAATATCTCTACAAAAAGGAGTTTTCTCTGAGTTTACAAAGGAGAAAACAGACAAAGACTTCGATTAGAATAGTGAAACAGTGTTGTTGAGTCTATCAAGGGAATGATACTTATCTAGACATTAAACTATATAGCCCGACCGCTTGTTTTCTATCTATTTGTTGGATAGCTATTCACATGTAGTGGAAATGACCATACTTTCCTTTTTCCATTTTAGCTCTTTATAGCTTTTTCCTAAAGCCTTCACTTCTTTAAGAAAATAAGCAGTTTACCAAAACCATACTCTACTACACATTTTATTTAGATCACAACAATCACATAAGAATTTTCTAAATTGAACAACATACCAAGCAAATGGTACTAACTCACAGTTACAAATATCAAATTTTGCGAGGAAGCCAATTGTACAGAAGAGAAGGAAAGTTAATTCAGAGGAAAACGCACAAATAGAGAAGTGAGACTCTAAAGACTAAACGTTTCGGTAGAATACAAAAGGGCTAAAATGGTGGTGAACAAACCAAAGAGCACACATTCCCAATACAAAGTTGCAGAAGAATCCAAAATGAAACATAGACGCAGGAACTCCTATCAATCTTCTCGTGAATTATGAAAAGACATAAAGACTTTATTTTTGTTAGGTTCAATTTTGCTCTTCGAGGGTTACCTTTTTCTTTTGTCACCTAGAAAAATCTAGTCAATCTGGTCTTCCTCTGAACAAAACCCACAACACATATGAGTTTTGATGTTTCACCACTCCACTCCATACGAAATCACCAATAGAGGAGGAAGAAAGTAAAAAAAATTAGACCTTTTTTAGCGAGTAGGATAAATGAGACCCTGCTTCGTCTCCCTCATTGTCCGAGAGCTACGTGGGCAGAATAAAAATTTAAACTTTCATCTCCTCCGGCTAAATTGGCCTCAGAACTTGCCGGATTTGGCTTCTCCGCCATCTCCGTACCACACTACCACCATCGAACCAGAGATTGTGTGGCACAGAGTAAGTAAATAAAAGGAGCATTATAGCAGTGTTATATTTATTTCTTTGTAACAAGCTATTGAAACATTCGTTACACAAACTTGAAGTAAAGTCTAAAGTAGAGAAGATATACAAACTTGAAATCTTATTCATGATCCAAAATCTAAATCCTAATCAAATCAATAATATTGTAGCTTTGTATTGAGCTAAATCCACAATGGCACAAACTACACTTCACTCCAAAAATATATAACAACCAAAAAAAAGAAAGAAGCAGGCACGTTTGATGCAGCGTCTAGCTTCCTTCTACTAAAACGGATAACGCTTGTTACATACCGTTCTCAAACGCAAACGCTATCTTTGCAAGAGGTTCACTTCATACTTATCACTCTCTAGTCCTCTCCTATGTAAGTAAGTAACTATGAATCTATGATATACAACAAAAGTAGGTATCTTCTTGGTCCATAAAGAATATGAAGAAGTAGACGAAGAAACAGAAATGTTTTCCGCGTGACCATCGTTTGATGACCCTTTGGGTTTGAAAGTAACCAAATTTTTTATATGATCTATGTATATGTTGTGGAAGGCCTCAAAATCTAGCTTTCCAAATAGCGTTTTCCGGTTCACCACATCGTTTGTGAACCTCCTTAATCCGATCAGCTGATCTGCAAATACCGCTACATGTCCAGTCGAAAGAAGCTACACATATGTTGCCAGCTTGTGCCTTCCATTCACAATCTGCATTCCCAAGAACCACATTTAGTGTATATAATATGATTACCAGTTACATCAAGATTCTGGTCAAGGTATGTTTCAAAAAAAAAAACATTCTAGTTAGATTTATAGATCTTACTACGTTTAACTTTTTACCCCTTCATAATCATGTAGATTGTATTGAACTGAGTCTAGAAAAATTTGGAGGAAAGGGGAGAAACCAAGAAGTTACCAGGAGGAGTGCCGCAACATAGCCTTCTATCATCAATATGTGTAACATCAAGTCCTATAAACCATGCACCTAATGTAACATCCTCATTTGCATACTTGTGCAGAACATGCCTGAAACATTTTGTAGCATGAGAAATAAGATGAAGAATGAGTCATGATTACAATACAAAGAAGTTCAAATCTTACTGATTAAGGGAAATATAAGAAGCCAAGTCTCTTGAAATGGCGTATAACTGTCCAGTAGCATGTCGGAAGTACTTGTTCCCGTTCTCACCAAATTTCCAATACTCAGGCTCATGGTATCTAACTCCTCTGCTCCATAGACAAAACGCGAGTTACAACACAAAAAGCAAGAACTGTTCATCAAGTAAAGTGAGAGAAATGAGATTTTACTTTTGAGATAGGACTGGACCAGACTTCATGCAGCCTATATAGACTCGAGGTTTCTTCCTATGTCTAACAAGAGTTTCCCCAAGAGTTGCTGTGAACATTTCAACAAAACAACTGATATTAGCAATAGCAACATACAAAATGGGGAAAGCGTTCACTGGACTTATTACATTATCTGGTGGAAGATTGTGTAGCTTACCGATATTTACATGAACATCATCATCTACTTTAACATAGTACTCTGCATCCCACATTGATACCGCTGTAGAAAAATATGTTTTCGTTTTGCCTGATAACTCGAGGTATCCTTCAACATGATCCTGTTAAAAAGCAAATAAAGATAAGAAACTGATAGTAACGGCTTTGGACTTTGGAAATCAAATGCGCGAGTCTATATGAGAACAAAAATAATACCAATCTCAAGAAATCTCCATGCTTCTTGTCTTCTGCTTCAATGGATCGGTCTAGGATTCCACCAGCAGTGGCACTAGATAACCAAAGACAAATAACAATCAGATATAAAGAGCATACTGAGTTCAAATCATCTCAGTAACTATGTAAGAACATAGTAATATGACATTACTAAAAGATTTACATTCTCACCTATGACCGATCACAAACCGTATAATAATCCCCTTCTCTTCTTCCAACTTTTTTCTTTTTTCACCTACAAAGCAATATTTTCAACAGAAACAACCATCAAGGAACATGTTGATATCAGCAATTTTGAAGATAATGAAGCTAGAGAATGATGTGGGAACCTGAAGGCATCCAAGTTGTTCGAACAGAATCTCTTCTCTTTCTGCTACTAAAAGCAGTATTAATCCCAACAACCATCAGATACCGTCTTTTCCCTGGTAATGGTTTCTTCTCGACATCATTCGATATAGGAGAAACATTAGTTAAAGACTCCTGTGCTGATCTTGCTGCGGCTAACTCCATTTCTAAGCTTGAAATAGTCTTATCCAATGTCCTGAAGTTAAATAAGAACGTTTTAAAAAACCCGAGATTTTTAAAATATTTGGATTACTTCAGCTTAAGAAATGATCTTACTGTATAGCGTTATGAGTCTTGGAAACTTCTCCAAACAAAGCCTGAGGATCGCGATTTACTTCTTTCTGGTAGAGCTAAAAAAGCAAACCAATCAGATCATTAAAAAGAAAACTTTGTACAAACTCAACCAAAAATTTACTAAAATGGATCCAACAAGGGACACATTACACTCACAGTTTTTGGACCACATCCCTCCGAGATCAGCTTCAACCTTTCAGCTTCTGTTACAGATGGTCGAGCTATGTCTTTAGACTCTGGAATATTCCACATCCTGCAACAATAAATGTCATACCAAATGTTTTTGAGACTGGTTAGTTTCAAAATCATGTCTCATAGCTTAATCCAAAGGTTATCTATTCTATTCATCATTTGAGTGATAAAATCTCATTCTGTTCCATCAAAACCAAAGAGTATAGCAAATGACACAAGAAACGAAGTTACCAATCAGACCAAAGTAGAAATAACGTAACGAAGGGTTAAGAAACAGACTAGAACGAGCTTCTAATCAAATCTTAAATGTAGGAATTGGGAATCAAAAGTTGAAACATTGAGCTTCAAAACGACGGTGATGATTAAACCAAACCATTCAAGACCCAAAAGGAGAAAACTTTATAAATTCCCAGAATAGCAAATTTGTTAAAGTTGAATAAAATAATCAAAACCCATTGAATCACGAAACTTAATTTAAAACTAGATGAATCTGTGAAAGAAACAAACCATAAGAGCATCATGTGTAACCAAAGAAAACTAAAGGAGAATAAATTCAAAAACTGGCTTGGAGAAAGAAAAAAATATTCAAACTTTTTTAAAAAATTTCATACCTATCGGTGAAGAGTATCCCAAAGCAGAAGCTCCCAAAGCAGAGTAAAAATGTCCATTTCTTAGATACTAAGCTTCTAGAGATAAAAATCTCTCCTTTGATCTTCGGCGACATTTTTATTTTTCCCCTTCAAAAAAAAAAAAAAACAAAGATTCCCCAGGAACCAAAGTAGCTATTCCAATCTGATCAACTCCATAAAAGGAATCAAAACCATGAAGTATTTTGATTTATAAAGAAACAGGTTCAACAAAAATGGAGTAGCTCTCAATCTTCTCTCTGAAACCAGAAAGATAGATTTTTATTTCATGTAATCCAAGAGAAGCTGAAAGAGAAGTGGTACTCGAGAGAGTATTCTATTAGAGATGATGATGTTGAAGAGATTCTTGCTCTCTCTCTCTATTTTCTAAAATCTATGTGGCTCTGTGAACTAATCACAGGGAGGGAGAGAGGGACGTTAAGAGTGGAAGAGAAGGAAGAAGAAGAAATAAGAACGAACTCTTAACCGTTCCCGGTTTACTTTATACGAAACTCTTTAGTTGACATTTCTTGGAATTTACCTAACTATCCCTATCAATCCGTTTTTAGTTATATTTTTATATGCTAGTATTTTATTTTATTAAAACAAATGATAATTTAATGATTTTTAGATTGTAAAATTTAGTATGATGTGGAAATTTTGACAACAATGGTATGCCTATAATCACATTTGATGTCTTTCTTATTTCATATCTTAAGACTCAAATTTTCATATATATCTATCTAAGTTTTTAAGTTTTTCATATTTAAATATTCTAATACAAAGAGACTTCTTTCTTGATTATCAAATGTTTAGTGTAATTTTAAAAAGGTAAACAGAAATTTTTAGTTTCTTTCAAGTTTTCAGATTTTTGTAAGGTTAAAAAAATCAAAATTTATGAATGCGAGGTTAGGCCACCAAATGTGACACCAGTCCACCATAGATAATGATGTGTACTAATCTATTGCTATAAATCCATAATAATTCCAAAATGTTTGCCTTTTGCCTTTTTGGTGGTTTTTACACTGTTGTCGATATTAATATAGATGATCATCCCATTATCATAAGTTTAAGAGAGAACCATTTAATATACATACATTTTTGTGACCAACAAAAACAAAAACAAAAAAGAAAAAGAAAAGAAGAAGTAAATGTAGATATGTAGTTGGAGGTTTTAATATCCTTTTGGTGTAACGTAGAGGTCGAAAGAATAAAGAAAGAACAAGTAAGGCGGTTGATAGAAAAGGGCATTGGGGTTGGTCCTCAGCTTTTTTTGTCTCAGCAGATAACACATGATCGATCTTACAACTTCTAAGGCACACACATTGATATGATTCGTTTATCCAACTAATTTTTTCTATCCACAATATATATATATTTACAATATTCTATATCATTTTTCATTTACATCCTGAAGTCTCTGGCCTCTGGGGTTAGGTTAATTAGGGCCATATATATAATATAGCTAATTCCAATATTAAAGAAAAAAAGTATATGGGAGGACCATATATATTCGATCAAGGTTCTCTACTATACGTGACTATATAGTGGAACAATATTTGATTTAACAGTAATATTTGATCTATTGTTGACAAAGTTAATGACGTGAAAGTGAAACGACTGACTTTGTCTTTTTTTTTCTTATAGGACAAAACAAGTCGGCAGCATAATAAGACATTAACTTAGTTTAGTTGTAATTATATATTGTTCCACCTACAAAACTTTGTAATAATCAGGAAAGTAATACCCTTTATCAAAAAGGGAAAAAAGAAAATGAAAAAAGTATTTGAATTCACATGAGCCATATAAAATAAAAGATGAAAACGAATGAATATATATAGAATAAGTTGACAAAATAAGAACAAAGTTAAATATATCTCGTTCACTTTATATCTATGGGAACATGAATATATGAAGAAATAGTCTTCAAACAGGTTTAGACAAAATGTAGTATGACTTGGTCGAGGCTAATCAATCCAAAAATAATTAGAGGTAAATTTTCACTAGTTCTATCTTTCTCCCTTATTAAAATCTGTTTCTTTTTTTTTTTTTTTTTTTTTGGCATGATCTCCTATCTCTTTACTTTCAAAAACTATAGGATCCAAACATCATATCTTTTTATTTCTTTTTATGCATTTTAATTGAAAGTCTTTTAACAAAAAAGAAATGTATTATGACATATAAATCGAATGTGATATTTTTCTAAATAACTTCGATGTAGGAAGAAATTAAATTCAAAATAACTTCGAAGCTGGAGACTGTGTGATTGCTAATAAATTCGACTTAGATAAGAAGGTTTATAAGTGGTCTATCATCAGTTCAAAAAACACATGCATATATACATGGAAACTGATTACGTTTTAGCCGTACGTAGAAGAAGCAATCATTGAGATGGCACTGAAATGATTTATCCCCATCTATTTGACTAAACCAAGTAATTTCTTACTCCGGAAATAATAGTATAAACATGTGACACATGACATAAAACATCTAAACCAATGAAATTTAGTGATTAGCAACTACTCCCACATGCGTTTCCCAGTCGTCTGCATAGCTTTTGGTTGGGTAATTAACGACACTTTTCATTTATATATCACCAAATGATTACGATAAATAGATCATAGTTAACTTTTTATCTTGATTTAATCTAACTATACTCACTCAATTCAGTGTGATAAAGTTTTCATATGCTAACATGTATTTTTTGAACAAATTAATAAATTCCAAATGTTAATAACAAGAGGTACAATATTCATTAAGTTATAAACAGATGTAGCACAAAGACCTAAACAAGAAGCAAGCATGTAATCAAATCTCAAAACGTTAAAAAAAAAAAAAAAGTTACAAACGATAAACAAAAGCGGCACTGACGGAGTGACGGGAGGGGCACTTGCGAGAGGGGACGGTCGGAATAAAGTACACGTGATAAGGTTCTGTCAAATTGGAGATGTGTCACTCTCTTATTGGATACTCAGTTCATTAGATCCTGCTTCAATCATGTGACGCTTTTCCGTTTTCCATCACGTGGCGCTACGCTAAAGTAACAGCATGTGGATCCAACGTCACGAGTTTCTTCCACGTGTCATCATGATGTTTAGAACTACACTTTGTGTAATCTTGTAGTGGATCCAACCAAAAACAAACGCCACATGACTTGTGGAGCTCATAATCAGAATAGTTCGGTCTGTTTTGGAAGTCGATCGTTATACACATCCATCACAGGTTAGATCAGTTCCTTTACCGTTTGCCACTTATGTGAGATTCACACATGTTTATACATGTATATATACCACCATAGATAACTCGGTCATGATGAGATTGCGATGTCATGCCCATGTATAGACTATACTTAATTATATATGAAATTTGAGATTTGTTTTCGACCTAAGAAAATAAAGCGATGGAACCTAGGAAAAAGATGACATAGAACAATAAACAATGAGGTGACATCTCCAAGATTGATGGCACTTTAATTATGTAATCTTTTGGATCATTTATATTTTATGGGATATATGTCCTAGCCAGGGAACACACATACGTTGTACAACATGACATGACAGTCATTGTATTACATGCCACATTCATTATTAATTTCTGGATTTATTTTTTTAATAAGTTTTTCTTTTTTCTCTGGTAGACAATGTCTTTTGGACATTTCTGAAGTAGTTTAAATGAAATGTAGCTGAAATTTTGTTATAGGAAAAATTGCGTAATATTCCATTGATGCTTGTGCTCATGAGAAATGGCATCTGTTTCAAAGGAGTCAGTTCAAATGTACTTATATTCTATAGAAACGAGCTGATGGAAAATGAATTTTTGATTGGATCAATGTTATCCAAATTTATTTTATACTTCCATTAGAAAAAGCTCCAGATCTCTCCTTGATAAGTGTTCTCTGGAGCCTAAGGAATCCGCAAATATATTTTTTTATGTTTTTTTGCTAATCTCTCATACATATTTATTTTCAGATATATAATCACCTGAAATTTTACACCATATAGTTCAATAATACGGAACACATTTGTGTTTGTGTCTAACTATATATACATTATAATATTTACAAGAAATAAAAATTATAACCAAATAAAAACTGGCATACCAAAAAGTGAAGTAGAGTGTGACTACTGAGTTACGTTACATACTTACATATGCATTAACATGTGCATGCAAATTATACATATGTATTTATAAACAAATACACATGCACCAATAATTCAGGGAAAATAAAAATAGAGTGTGATTTAAGTATATACAACGTACATACGCACCAACATATGCACAGGCTGTCATATTTGGTAAAATCATAACGAAAATTTACATTTTTTTTCTTTCTTTTTCTTTCTTCTGGTAATTAAAATAAACCGGCCGGCTCCAACAAATTGATATCATGGTTAATCCAAATGATACAATGGTAAGATCTTAAGTTTGAGATAAAGCGCCGGTCAAATAAAGACAGGTTTACCACATTAAGTAAGAACCTAAAAGGGTTGTTAGGTGCTTTGCTTGTAAGATAAGAGAGGAGACTTTGTAACTTTTATTAGGAACACCTAATTTATATGTTTGGGTTTGGTCTCTCCGGTCTTGGTACGAACCCTAAAGCTGCCATATGTCCAAATGTATAATATATATTTGCCGGGTTCTTGTTGATACTACTTTGTCAAAAGGTGTATATTTGATTTATGCTATATGAGTTTGTAACCGCAGTTTTCTTTTGTGTGTGTTACGATAATTAACTATATATCATCATTATTTCGACATTTGATGCTAGCTGAGTTTATTATTTCTGAATCCGGCACATGCATGCAGGGATATATTGAAAGCAAATACTCGTGGAAATCATAAAACCAAACAAAAAATGTACAAAAGTATAACATAAACCACATAAGAAAAAATTATACTACGCCATTTCATATATAGTTGTTCGTCAAAACTTGAATCCTGCTGGTGCGGATCGATGTGGCAACTGGCAAATATATTAGTAAGGGTAGTCTTTAGTATCATCAAATCATACTCTTTTATTAAAGTTGTAAGTACGAGAATAATCAAAAGTCTTAAATTTAAAACAGAAAACCATATCAATGTTGTCCCCAAATTGCTCTATAAGTACTGAAGCTGGCTCACGTGATATACAAAATGGTAAAACAGAGATTAATATGAAACGTAAAGACGAAACAAAGGTGGTAAAAGATTTGATTCTCATTAGATATGCCACGCTTTTAGAGAACCATAAACGATCATGAAAACAACTTCGCTGTATGTATTTATCCAGCTCTCTTTTTACACTATATATATAAAGGTACATATATATATATATATATATATATATATATATACCATCATGAAAATTACAGGTTTGTATTCATAATTGTACGGATGGTAATTATAGATCTTAATTACCAACGATACTTATGAATAAAAATGTCCAAAGTTCTATAGTATAAACTGTATATAATGTAAACAGACCGAATCGGTAAGAGTCAGGCTGTAACTGTAACAAACCGTATATGATTAGGGAAAAGAATGTATACAATTTATTATCTGTCTGCTACAACGTAACGCTGACCAAAAGCTTTGGACGTAAAAATAATGGAAATAGTGGGCATTGATAAATACAGCATGACATTATTTAATATTGGCGACAACGATATAACAAGTCTTTATTGATAGAAATTTACAAACTTCAATATCTTTGTGTCGATTAAAAATATTAGACCAGAACTAGTATGGACTTATATGGAGTCAATGGGTAATAAATAAATAGCAAGTAAACCCTCACACTCACCTCTCACTGTCAATGACCCCAAAACCCCTTCAACTCTATAATTTTTTATGCTTTCTTTGTCAATTACAATTATATTTTTCTTTTGTCGTATATACATCTTTCCATATATAACTCAACATGGTTGATATTTTTAAAATCATATACCTCTTAATGGAACACTCTTTTTTGGATTTGGGAGTAAACATATTTTTAATTACGTTGATGTCATGTAAACACTATGTCAAGCAATCATATCACAATTCTCATGCCATAAAATAATACAACAAGTATGGTTTGGTGTCGTTGAAGTTTTGGGCCGAGGAAGCCATTTAAATAGATACACTTTTTAATGGGCCTGTTTAGTTTAGATAGGCAAAACACGTGTCATGATCTTAACGGTTTTATAAATAAGACACGTGTTAAGATCTTCATGGGTCATTTGCCGCCATCGCCGATGAGAGAAGACGGAGGTGCCGCAGATTTGCTCAGGGAACAGACAGGAACACTAACGAAGAACATGGAGGTCAGAGAGAAGGCCAAAATCGTAATTACAGTAGCCTCTCTTGTCGCGGTGACGGTTCTGTTCGTGACGGAATATCGCCGGCGCCGTCACCGGAGGAAGAAGACATCTCATCTAAGCTCTTGTTATCTGCATTCCGAGCTGAAGCCGCAGTTCGGTTTCAAACGCGTACTTGCAGATAACTCTTACTCTGAATTCAAACACTTGAAGCTCGATGATGCGTCTTCCTCCTTAGGTGGATTCAATATCTCACGTTTTGAAAAATTTGTGTCTTTCTATAAATTGATTTTCAAGCTTTTGATTTGTAATAGTTTTTTTATTATAATTGAAACCAATGCAGAGAAAGCTTCGAACTGTCATCCGTATGAAGCTGAGATAACTGTTCTATTAGAGAATATTCAGATTGAATTTGGATTTTTGAGGGGAGAGTGTTCATTGGAAATGAGTGATTCGTATGTGTGGGTTGAGAGGGAGTCACAGTTAAAGGAACTTGCGGAAATATTGGCAAAAGAAAAGGTTTTTGCAGTTGATACTGAGCAACATAGTTTTCGGTCGTTTCTTGGTTTCACTGCTCTAATTCAGGTAACTCAGCAATGTAAGAACCGTTGTTGTATTTGGTTCTACCTTTGAAAGTTAGGATTTTTTATTTGTCTCTGAAACTTGTAGATCTCTACACACGAGGAAGACTTTTTGGTGGACACAATTGCATTACATGATGCAATGAATATCCTTCGTCCTGTTTTCTCTGATCCTAATATTTGTAAGGTAAATTACTCGTTCTATTTCAGCAACTTGTTGCTTGATTGTTTTAGTTTTTTCTTAATATTTGGGGTAAATCTTATGAAGCACTTGTATGTTTCCAATGTGTCTTAATCCGCTAAATTTCTAATGTGCATTTTCGAACATTAATATCTGATTTTGCATTAGGTATTTCACGGGGCTGACAACGATGTTCTCTGGCTTCAAAGAGACTTCCATATCTATGTTGTTAATATGTTTGATACTGCCAAGGTATACGTTTGTACATCCTTCTTTTAAGTTTTAAAGTTTAGCATTAGTGAAAACCATTTGAATGAGTGAACATAGAAGAATATGTGTCTGTTAACTCAGCCAGTTTAAGAATTCTGTTCTTTATTAATGTGTTATATGCCCTATACACATGTTTTTGTATGTATAGTAAATTAGGGATGAAGTTGTTGTTGCTGTAATACTAAACTGTTTTTACTAAAATGCAAACAACCAGGCATGTGAGGTCTTGTCAAAGCCTCAAAGATCACTGGCATATTTACTTGAGGCAGTATGTGGAGTGGCTACTAACAAATCGCTACAGGTGAGTCCCTTAACATTACGAAATTGCTAGTCTGCTGCATTGTTTTACTCATATCATGTTTAACTTGATTTTTTGAGACTATGACTTGAACTTTCTTGCTTTGACATTTTTACTTGAAGCGTGAAGATTGGAGACAGCGTCCTCTGTCCAAAGAGATGGTGCAATATGCCAGAACAGATGCACACTATCTGCTCTATATTGCAGATACTTTGACTGCTGAACTCATACAACTAGCCACTGGTACGCATCTCTGCTATGGAGAAACATTTTTGTACATGATGGAATAGTAAGGCTAACTCGGCAGGAATGTAAACTAGAATTTAAGAGAACATGATTTTAAGGAGCGATATTGTTTTATTCTTGCAACAAAGTTCTAAAATATTAAATGTATCAGAAGATTCATCTAGCCCCGATGACAAATTCCATTTTCTTCTCGAGGCTAGTAGGCGGTCAAACATGACATGTTTGCAATTGTACACCAAAGAAACCGAAGATTTTCCTGGGAGTGCTGTTGCTTCCTCAATAATTTATCGGCATTTAAACGGACACGGAGATAATTCTACCATCTCGGTGAACTCTGAAGTATGCCTAGTGCCTACCCCTCACCTCATCATGTGTACCCAGTTATATATCGAAACATTTTGTTGATGTTCGTGTTTTAGTTTCAGGAGCTTGTTAGGAAACTTTGTGCATGGAGAGACTTAATGGTGAGTTAATTCCTGTAGTTTTTAAAATTTGTCCAAGACTCCAAGTCCAAAATGTTGTCACTTCAAACCTTTTTCTCGTCGTAATTTTAGTCAACATTTTTTTCACAGGCACGGATCCATGATGAAAGCACACGATATGTGTTGTCTGACCAAGCTATCGTTTCTCTTGCATGTAAGCAGCCAACTAAAACCGAAGAGATATATGATACAATAGCTCATACTGATTTGGCTTCTGAGTCTTCTCCGAGCTTCATTAGGTCCTCAGTTCAGTCTCCATATCCGGTTATTTGTAGTCATTTGGATGACATATATCAAATGATTCTGAACAAGTTGGCTAAGCTGGATGAAATCTTACCGGTGGTTCTTAAGAACTGCTTGGGCACAAATGGAACATGTCCAATATCTGTCTTCAACTATTCCCTTTTGGTAAACTTCAAGACAAAGCTAAGTAGCCGCTCTGCTCCCAAGAAAAATGGACATAAGAACTTCAAGCAATTCACTCGGTTGGCCTCACGAGAGCTTTTTGTCAAGAAATTTTCCTGCAAGGCACCGGTTTATCACAATTGTAGAATATACGCAAATGATGGACGATTGCTATGTTATTGTGATAAAAGAAAACTTGAATGGTAGATGCTGATCTATTGTTGTATCTACACTCCATCAATAATTTTTGATTCAAGAATCTCCTCTCTAATTTACATATCTTTGTAATATCTTACAGGTATCTGAATCGTGGACTTGCAAAGCTAGTCGAAGAAAATCCACCTGCGATAATGCTTTTGTTTGAGCCTAAAGGACGTCCAGAAGATGAGGGGAATGATTTTTATATCCAGACCAAGAAGAACATATGCGTTGGGTGTGGGGAAGGGAAACACTATCTGCGTTACCGGATAATACCTTCTTGCTATAGAGTTCATTTTCCTGAGCACCTAAAAACTCACAGATCTCATGATATTGTTCTACTTTGTGTGGATTGTCATGAAGTTGCACATGCTGCTGCAGAGAGATATAAGAAACAAATTGCTACAGAATTTGGAATTCCTCTTTTTGTTCGTAGAGTACTTGATTCAAAAGAAGCACAAGGAACATCTTCTTCGATGGAGGATGAATCAATGATCAACTCTGAGGATGCAGGTGTCTCTCCTTTACATCTTAGATCAGCTGCAATGGCTCTTTTGCGACATGGGAACAGAATGCCATCAAGTCGTCGTGAGGAATTGTTGCAGGTGATGTGATCATTGTTTGAAAAAATTGATTTGAACCAAGCATTCTGTTGTTGATGGTTTCTTTGGTTTGTGATTTGTGAACGTAGATTGTCAAGATGTATTACGGTGGAAGGGACATATGTGATGAAGATTTGGAAAGAGCTTTACTCATCGGATTGAGCCCGCACGAGAGACGAAAACTGGAAAGAAAGAAAGGGGTCTCCCTCAAAAATTCTGCAGAGGCTACTCGTATGGACAAACAAGAAAATGGTAAAAAAGGTAACTGTCTGATAAATACTGGTCAAGGTACATTGAAAAGGTATTGGCTAATTAAGTGTAAATGTGTAATAGATAATGATTCTTTGTACATCCACAATCCTGATGCATCTTTAGATGAAAACAATGATGAGGAGGCTCCTGCAAATTGTGCGAAAATTATGAATGTAGAAAGGATCACAGTTACTGATGATAGTGGTGATGGTGGTACAAGTGAAGGAGATGGAGCTACAGAGCTAAATGATACTCAATGTAATGGAAATATGTTGCACCAGCAGAACTCCAAACTGTCTTTGCTAGGACATGGACCACACGGGAAACAAATTGTAGAGTATCTTTTAAGGGAATATGGAGAAGATGGTGTACGAGATTTCTGTCAAAGGTGGAGAAAAGTGTTTGTTGATGCTGTTCATCCTCGCCATTTACCTGGTGGTTGGAATGTTAGTCACAGGTAATCTTAATACTTAAAACCGCATTTGCATCTTTTTCATAAGCAACTTGAGTCTCTACCATGATTAATATGCTTAACTCGCTCAACGATTTGATAGTTGGATGTTTATCATATCAAGTAAACAAATTTGGTGTTAGAGAATCGAAAGTCTTTGAAGTTACTGAAATGAATTTGTTCGGACCTTGTTCTTTACCAGGGTTTGATTTTTGTTTTGCCAGTGGCCGAAGAGATTTTGGCGAATTCAGCGTTTACAACCCTACAAAGAGACTCTCTACCGAGTAGCTTGAGCATTGAAAATCTATTTCTGCTTCGTTAATTTTGGACTGTTTGTTATCCAGGAAACGAGTCTGGATTGGTCTATTTTGTAATTCCCCAGCCGTATCAGTGGTTCGTTGTATTCTTCTGTAGACCTCTGTACTACGAAGCAATTTTGGACTGTTTGTTATCCAGGAAACAAGTCTGGATTGTTTAGTTTATTTTGTAATTCCCCAGCCGCATTAGTGGTTTGTTGTAGACCTATGTACTGTCTTTAAACGATAACAAAACTTTGCTTTACTGAACTACACAAAGGCTCTTTGCCCATCAATTAACACGAGCTCTTCGGTTTTAAACCGCGGCTCAAAAATCAATATACATGAAGAGTTTGAAACTTGTTTCTATGGAGAATTGAGATCTAGTTAGTCTGGTGTACGGCAGAATGAAAACTGCAACTGGTGAACCGTTCCTCGTTCTACAAGAAAGGTTAAGTTTTCAATTCAGAGTGAGGATAAAAGATAGGTTGGAATTCTTCTGCAGCCACCAGTGTCTAAAAATCTTCTATAATGTCAAACACTGAGACTTGTGATCAATCCCATTGAAGATGTAAGTTCCTTGCATGGGGACAAACTGCTTCGTGAGGAGCTGCAAACATAGGGAAACCATAAAAGAGGTAAATATTTAGTTTCATAACTAACACCTTTGATACTGCCAGTGACCAATTCGAGAGATACAGGGATATGAAACGAACCTTGATCACTTCTTGAGATGTGATTCCTCCTATGAAAGCAGCAACCACATGAACCTCTGCAGCACCAAATCTACACATCTCATTGTAAAGTTCTTCCTGAAGCAAATAGCCGTCACAACCCATTTCACTAAGAAGATTTAGGGCAGTAGTTTTTAACTGGGCTACGTCATGGTCCATTAATCTGCTAGAAAAGAGACATGTTAATAGTCTAACAATGCCAAAAAATTTCGGGATACAATCAACGTTTGCCAAAATGTGTTCTCTTACCCATCATCAAACTGTCCAGGAAACTTCTTATAGGTCGCAGAAAATCTATCAGCAGCTCTTAGAAGAATATAAAATCCAATTGCGATTCTGCACGAGTAAACAGAAAGTGGTAAGAGCCTAAAGTGCTAACACCATGCCTCCCCAAACTGTTGCAACTGTAAAATTATTTTTCAGTTCTGCAAAGTATACTCCAGCAATAATTTTGTTATCACAGTTTCTGTAGTCATATGAAATACATTAATTTCAATGAAGACAACTGCACCTGTATTCCTCATCATCCAAACACTTATGTAGTGCTGCTACAGAAGGACTTCTGAACTCGTCTTCTATCATACGGTATCTGCATACCTACAAGACCGCATATCCAAATGCTTTTAATTTACTCGAAAACATGAAATAGGTTTCAATCATACATAACAAATCAAATTGATAGGAAATTCATGCATTCTCAGTTTCTCACCTTAAGTTTTCTTGCATTCTTGCAGAAGCTCTTGATAGTTGACTTTGAGATGCTACTAGGATCCTGACCAACTTTAGCTAGAATGTTTTTTACTCTCTGCTCCATGGCAACAAAATCAGCTTCAGCTTTGGAATGGTAGATTTTCTGCAAATTGATGTAGTGCCTGCAAAAAAAACAATACAGCTAATATAGTAATCTGATAAAGTTTATGGACGAATTTCATCCCTCCCCTAAAACGAAAGAACACGAGAACTAACTCTGTGGAAGATGTCATATCAGGGATGGCGCCTTCAAGTGGTACCTCCCCACCACCTTCATTTGAAATAAACTCCTGCAAGTGATGCATATAATCAGTAGGGTAAACATTAATGTCGATGGTTAGCCGAAAAAAACTAACATGGATCAAAGAATCTGATTTACTAAAACCCTAACAAACGTTCTCAATTCCTTCCACAATTGCAGTAACAATATGAAAGTATGTGTTTTGACGTGAGGACTTTAAAGTTACGAACCTTGAGTGCTGCTACCATTATCCAAAACTCTGACGAATTTGGGCCAACGTCAGCACAACTATCATTAATAATGTCTTGAGTATATTGGCCTGGACAAAAAAAACAACAGGTTCAGTTCAATGTGAAAATAATAGAAATCGTCTCATGACATTTTTTCCAGCAGTTACCAAGATACCTGACTTCATATTTTGAACTCTAATGTTAACCATGATTCATGAGGATAGTTATCCCATAGATTGCAATTTTTTAATAGTACAGAAAGGATAAATTTAAAGGTCAAGTTTCAACCAACGCCAGAGAAGATATATACTTACTGATCCCTCTAGGAGCAAAAACTTTGAAAGAGGCTTCAATAGCTTCTCTGTAGTTATCTTCATCCATTGATACCATCTTGGACTTAACTAAAGCCTAAAGGTTCAAGCAATAAGAGAATAAATACAAGTAAATTTTGCTAACTGTTTGCCGAGTAACAAAAATTAAGGATACCTTAAATTCGTTTTTCTCTTCCCTAGTCGTTGGAAGGTTGCTGTTATGGGTTTGAGCCCATTCTTCAGCCACCTTGATAAGAATGACGATGTAAGGAATGTGCTTATGGGCAGCAGGGGGTTCAGCTACATTTAGATCAATGGTCTCCACAAAGCTGCAGGTCAATGAATAAAGTTAGGCAGCATGCAAACCCATCGACAGTAATTTCATTCACAAGGTTAAAGGATGGCAATAAAAGATAATGTGTGAGAAGATCGGAACAGAGTACCTCTTTAGTTCAGGCCACGGATTATTCAAGCGGATATCATCAAGAAAATGATCAGGCTTTGACTCGATAGCAGTGTGCTCCTGATAGGAAAGAGAGGGCATGACTTAACCGTTAGTACCGTGACCAGTGGCAAAGCACTCAAGTCAAGACTCAACAGCAATAATCTTACCTTTACACTGATGCGAACAAACCCAGTAAGGCCATAGGAGCGAGCAAAAACCAACATGACATTTGCTTCCCGGCAGATTCTATCTAATTTCACCATGGAATCTTCCACTAGCTACAGTTAACACATACTAATAAGGGGACGTTCTGAGAAAATCTGAAAACAAAGACTAGTAATCCTAAAGAACTGATCATAGGTGATGGACATTTGAAACTTCCACGCAAATAATATCAATTTTGAGCATTTCAAAGAAAGAGAAGTACCTGAGTGGCGACAACAAGAGTGAACTGAGAGAAGAAAAATGGGTCATTTAGTATAAATGTGTCTGGATTCTCCTCAATAAAGTTGGCTTTAACAGCATCGTTAAGCTCCTGAAGAAAGCCGCAGACACACTTGGCCTTCGACTGACCGACGCTCTTCTCATCCACTGAACCAAAAGAAAAATCAATTTCAACAAACAGAACCAAAATTTGAATACGCATTGCCGAAAAAGATGAAAAGAAGATAAAAGATACCCATGAAATTGTTGCCAAGGTCGCCAATTTCAACTTTGGATCCGTCGACAATGGTTATACTTCCGATTCCACCAAGAACGAGATTCTTAAGAGCCTCAGAGCCAGTAGGGCCACAATTGAGCAAACAGATGCTCGCGGTTTCAAGAGCCGCTTGACCTAATTCTCCCCAAATCCTACGAATTATTTCCACGAACATCATCAGAATTGAGTTAAACGGGAATGGTGAAAAGAAACAGAGGAGAAGTAGAGAGCACGAGTTTGGGAGGAGAAAGAGTATACCTGAGTTGACGATCGTACTTGGTTTTCTTGGGTTCCGCCATTGTCGGTTCTTGCTCGAGCCTTTCCATGGGGATTTTGCAGTGGTTCGCGTCAGCGAGAGAGAGAAGAGAGTCGCAGCAGAGAGAGAAGAGGTGCGTGTTGCGGGAGAAAGAGAGAGAGAGAGAAAAGCCTTTTCCTTTTTAATGAGAGAGAACCTTTGACAAGTAAAGTCCCCTCATTTCTTTATTTATTTCCTTTCTAATTTGGAAAACTATTTACAATATTTAGGGGTAAAATTATAATTTAGATTTTATTATAGCAAAATACCTACCAAATTAGTTATAATCTGTTATATGAAATTTAAAATTTGCTAGGCTTAGATTTTTCATTAATTAAAAACCTCCAATTTCTTGAAACACATAAAAAGATAATATAAAAGACATATCTAAAATAAATAAAAACATATTTCATATAATTAAATATTATTCAGTTCAACAAAAAAAAATTTTGCCGCCTAAAAAATCTCATGAAATTAAAAAAAAAAAACTTCAACTCCCTATTTTGCCTTGCCAACTGCGACATTTCTTTTTCTTTTTTTCTTTTCAGAATTAGAAAACAAAGTAAAATATTACTTGTCATCCTCTTAAAAAAATTAGCTTAATAAAGGAAGAATAATTAACACATGGAAGTTTAAGAATTTAATATTGGTAATTTAATCTTAATTAAAACACAAGATACCAAATATTCTGATTAATAAAGTCATTAGAAGGAAAAAATAAAAAATTTCACAAAATGGGCCATTAGATGTAGGGCCTAAATAGGGTCCACTGCCAACAAAATTACAAAACAAACGGCTGCTATGATCTGAACACCACAACTACACAAGTCTACGGATAGGACCTGTGCTACTGTGTGTGAGAGAGCTCTAAACCAAAAAAAAGGAAGAAGTAGCACTTCAGTCACACGTTTCTCTTTCTCCTTTCTACTGTGTTTTCTATCTCTTCTATTCGATTTGTTCCGAGAAGAAGATAGAAGATGGCTTTTCTGTATCTCCTTTAGGAATCTCCCTGTCAGTCATGGGTTTAGTTCTTGACTTCTCTTGTTGATAATTCGTTGCTTTGTCGTAAAATTTCCCCTTTTTTTTGTTACTTATGCCTGCCAAGTGTTTGCATATATTCCACTCAGAATCTGAAGGTTGCTCAATGAGGTAATGAGAATCTCTCACTGTTCTACTGTTTTCTTGTTTCGTAAGATTGTCTTTCCATTTGATTCCGGTTCTCTGGTTCTTACTCTTTGCTGGCTCTGTTATCTTCCCATGAATTGATAAAGACCTCATCTTCCAGATTTTTTCTCTTATGTTCCGATCATTTTGTGTTTATAATTAATTAGTCTCGTAACCACATTGTTGCCTTCTTTTAGCCACATTTGAGTTTGTTATTGGCTTTGATTAGATCTTGTTTCGACTTTCTTCTAATTTAAGCAATCACGTTGATTCTACAGGTCAAAGTTGGTAACTTTACACTGATTTACTCTTCATTCTTCTCATCCTCGGTGCTGAATGAAGAGTCGCTAGATTTAAAAGAGATGGTTCTAGTTCCAACACAAACTATTTGAACTCTTCCTTAGTTTGATTGCGTTGTCTCCATGGGACTGGGCATTGACCCATTTGTGGCTATTACGGCCCTGATTGTGGCCATTCTTGTGGTTCCAATGGGTTGCCAGAGGCCTGAAGTGGTCAACCTCGGAGCTGTTTTCGCTTTTGATTCGGTTATTGGAAGAGCTGCTAAAGTAGCTCTAGAGGCAGCTGTCTCCGATGTGAATGCTAACACAACCGTTCTCAAAGGAACGAAGCTACAGCTGCTCATGGAGGACTCTGTTTGCAATGTCTTTCATGGGTCTTTGGGAGGTATGATGACTGTTTCTTCTACTTCTTTTGTGTTCAATCCCTTATGACCCTCATCCAAGGCTCCATTAAAAAGTTTCCATTATTTTGGGATAGTTGTAGCGATTTGCACATCATTATGTTTTGAATCAGTTTTTATTGGTAAATATTTCAACATGATGCTAATAATGCATTGAACAATATAGACCTCAGATCCAAAACAACCTGTTCCTTACTAAAACATGTTTCCAGTAGGTAATTGAACTTTTGTTTTACTAATTACCACTAAGGGCCTGGTTTAAGCTTCAGTGGTTGTTCTTTTTGCAGCTTTTCAATTGCTTGAGAAAGAAGTGGTGGCTATGATCGGTCCAATATCATCCTCTGTTGCTCATACGATATCCGATATTGCCAAAGGGCTCCATTTTCCTCTTATCTCATTTGCAGCAACTGATCCAACTCTTTCTGCCCTCCAATTTCCCTTCTTTCTTCGGACTACACCTAATGATGCCCACCAAATGTCTGTCCTTGTGGATCTGATTAATTTCTATGGATGGAAAGAGGTGATATCAGTATATTCAGATGATGAGCTCGGAAGAAATGGAGTTGCTGCTCTAGACGATGAACTGTACAAGAAAAGATCCAGAATCTCCTATAAAGTGCCGCTCTCAGTGCATTCTAATGAAAGATTCCTTACTGATGCTTTGAACAAATCTAAGTCCATTGGTCCTCGAGTTTATATCCTTCATTTTGGTCCGGATCCATTGCTCAGAATTTTTGATATAGCGAAAAAGCTGCAGATGATGACCCATGAATACGTGTGGCTTGCCACAGATTGGCTCTCAGTTACCTTAGATTCTTCTTTGATGGACAATGGTACTCTAAAACTCCTTGAAGGAGTAGTGGGGCTTCGTCAACACATCCCAGAATCCGAAAAGATGCAACGATTCACATATAATCTGCAGAGCAACAGATCAATGAATGCCTACGCATTACATGCCTATGATACCGTGTGGATGATTGCATATGGCATCGAGAAGTTGCTGAATGAAGGAATCAACATAACGTTTTCTTACTCTGAAAAATTACTTCATGCAAAAGGAACTAAACTGCACCTGGAGAAAATTAAATTTTTCAACAGCGGTGAGCTACTACTTGAGAAGCTTCTGAAGGTGAACTTTACTGGTATAGCAGGTCAAGTTCAGTTTGGTTCTGGCCGAAACGTCATCGGCTGTGACTATGAAATCATCAATGTAAACAAAACCGGTGTTCATACTGTGGGCTTCTGGTCGAAAAATGGAGGCTTTTCTGTTGTAGCCCCAAAAAACCGACATTCACAGAAGAAGACTAGCTTTGTTTCTGATGAAAAACTTGGAGACATAACCTGGCCTGGTGGTGGCCGTGACAGGCCACGTGGTTGGGTCATTGCTGATTCTGCAGATCCATTGAAGATTGTGGTCCCGAGAAGAGTGAGTTTTGTCGAGTTTGTGACTGAAGAAAAGAACAGTAGTCACCGGATCCAAGGATTTTGCATTGACGTCTTCATTGAAGCATTGAAGTTCGTCCCTTACAGTGTTCCTTACATATTTGAGCCATTCGGGAATGGCCATTCAAGTCCTAATTACAACCAACTTATTCAAATGGTCACGGATGGCGTAAGTATCCACTTCAACAACGTTCAAAACTGATTCAGAAATCCTTAGAGATCACTGAACATTCTCAGAGTTACTTTACTGAGATAATGGTTTTCCTTGTGTTTCCCTTTGTTTCAGGTATATGATGCAGCTGTTGGGGATATTGCAATAGTCCCAAGCCGGTCCAAATTAGTAGATTTCTCGCAGCCATATGCCTCCACAGGCCTTGTTGTGGTGATTCCAGCTAATGACGACAATGCAACTTGGATCTTCCTGAGACCCTTCACCATCCGGTTATGGTGTGTTGTTCTAGTTTCATTTATGGTTATTGCAGTAGTCATATGGATCCTCGAACATCGCATCAATGGAGATTTCAGAGGGCCACCTCGCAGACAACTCGTCACAATGATCCTGTAAGTTCAGCTTGTAATATTCACTGAACTTGATGTTCATCCATGGAGTTTTATCTGACACACCCGGTCTGATTTGTCCTTGCAGGTTCAGTTTCTCAACTCTTTTCAAGAGAAACCGTGAGTAGCCTTGGTATCATCTATAATTCTTTAAGAACCATCAAGCAAGAGAAAAAAAACAAGTCTAGAGTTACATTTAAGGATTTGTCTGATACATATTCGACTCTGTATTGATTTTATATTAACTCATGTCAGTAATCTTTCTGTTTTATCTCGTTGTCTCAACAGAGGAAGATACAATAAGCAATCTAGCAAGACTAGTGATGATTGTATGGCTCTTTCTATTGATGGTTCTAACCGCAAGTTACACAGCAAACCTCACCTCAATCCTCACAGTTCAACAGCTTCCCTCTGCCATTACCGGCATCGATAGCTTGCGGACAAGCGAGGTGCCTATTGGGTATCAGGCTGGGACGTTCACATTGGAGTATTTAACCTACAGTCTTGGCATGGCTCGGTCCAGACTGGTCCCACTTGACTCAACTGAGGAGTATGAAAAGGCTCTAAAGCTGGGGCCAACCAATTGGGGAGGTGTGGCTGCCATTGTCGACGAGCTCCCATACATCGAACTGTTTCTTGCAGAACGAACAGGCTTCAAGATTGTCGGAGAGCCCTTTATGCACCGCGGTTGGGGATTTGTAAGTACATACGTTTTTCACGTTTCTCTTAATCAGAAACTAATCATGAAAAGATTTGAACTTGTTTTTTGTTTAATAGGCGTTTAAGAGAGATTCTCCACTGGCTGTAGACATGTCAACAGCTATCTTGAAACTCTCTGAGACTAGGAAACTACAAGAGATACGGAGAAAATGGTTGTGCAAGACGAACTGCGCAGAGAAATCAAACTGGAACCCAGAGCCAAACCAGCTCCATCTCAAGAGCTTCAAAGGGTTGTACCTTGTCTGCATTGCAATCACAGTCTCTGCGTTTTTGGTGTTTGTTCTCAGGATGATACGCCAGTTCGTACGGTACAGACGGATGGAGAGGACATCCTCGATGCCTCGCGCTTCTTGGTCGGCTTCTCCTACAATGCGGCTTAGAGAACTGGTCTTTGATTTTGTGGAGTTTGTGGATGAGAAAGAAGAAGCTATCAAGAAAATGTTCAGGAGTGATGCCTCTAATAACAACAGCCCATCTCATGTTGTGGAAGTCCAAGAAGCTGATTCTGAGGTACCACGAAATTGACGAGTAGATCCACTCTATAGAAAGGAAACTGTTATTATTATTATGTATATGAATTGTACGGAATTAGATATGAGCTAACATGTAAGTCAATACTCGAACCTCTGTTCATTAGATTTGAGTATTGCAACCTAGCACAACATAAACATGCTGGTAAGAACCAATGATTATTATTACCATGATTTATAGCAACTACATTGTATAGATTTTAGAGCTAATTAGTTTATATGTCATTGACTTTGGGGATTTCTCTAATAGGATTAGGTACTAATACAATACACAAAAACTTCAACAGCTTCCAAACTTGATTGAATATATAAAAACTCGTCAGAATTGAAAGAAAAGGTTGGATCTTTGGATGTATATGTACGTCTATTTGTACACATTAAATTCTTTTTAAATGATTGCCACGTTCAATGAAGTATGAACTCATGAACTTTTCTTTTACTCAACTTGGTATATGCTAAAATTGTTTTTGTCTTGACCCACTACTTGCTATTTTATTGATTTATCTGTTTCTTTCTATTAGTTTATCGCAAACATCCATGGAGTTGCGTTCATTGAATTGAATTATTAACTATTATTATTACTTGAGTTCCATGGTTTTATTCCTTTTATATTTCTTCTGAACCGTCTCTGAGATGGTTTCAGTTCTGTTTCTTGAGTACAGAATCCAAGATAGTTATTTATACACACGTATATGTGTATATATGTAAAATCTAAGTTTTGATTCTTGGTTCGATCCAATGTTCACTAAAATCTCACGACCCTTTTGTCTTTTTGTCTGACCCATGTTGATGTTGATGGCTAAATTAATGGTCGTTAATGCTTCTTCAACCAGATTTTTTTATTTCGTCTTTAACTCCGAATCATCAAATGGGTATCTCATGAGCTCGTAAAAGTCAGTCCTTTCTGATTAAAAGATGGGATTTTTCGTGATGATGAGATGTGATTCCATTGGACTTATGCTCCTTCTATGTGTTTTTGGTGTGTGGGTTTTGCCAACGAAAAGTGCTGGTGGAGAAGGTTTCTCAAAAAACTCTTCATTTTCTTTGCCAAGCTCTGTCAACGTTGGAGCTCTGTTTACTTATGATTCTTTCATTGGAAGGGCGGCCAAACCCGCGTTTTTGGCGGCCATTGAAGAGATTAATCTTGATCAGAGTATTCTCAGGGGAACCAAACTCAATATCGTCTTCCAGGACTCAAATTGCAGTGGATTTATTGGCACCATGGGAGGTACTTTTCGTAAACTGTAGCCAAACTAAACAGCTTTTTAGTTATGCCTGAAAGTTTCTTCTGAAATTCTCCCAGTGAAGCTGGGTTTTGATAGTGAATGGGGTTAATTCAAATTGTTTAGCTTTTCTTGTTCATAAACCTCTTGTTAAAATCTTCTTCTTGCACATGGAATGCTTTTTCGAAATGAGGAAGGTAGATTGGTGATATGGTTTCTTATGGTGTAGTTTTGCAGCTAATGGAGAACAAGGTGGTTGCAGCCATTGGCCCACAATCTTCAGGAATTGGCCACATAATCTCCCATTTAGCTAATGAGCTCCATGTACCTCTCTTGTCATTTGCAGCAACAGACCCGACTCTTTCTTCACTCCAATTCCCTTATTTCCTTCGTACCACACAGAACGACAACTTCCAGATGAAAGCAATCGCGGATTTTGTATCCTATTGTCGATGGAGAGAAGTTGTTGCGATCTTTGTGGATAATGAGTATGGTAGGAACGGGGTATCTGTATTAGGCGATGCTTTAGCCAAGAAACGTGCCAAGATCTCTTACAAGGCTGCATTAACGCCTGGTGCAGATAATAGCTCAATCAGTAGCTTATTGGCTTCGGTTAATCTGATGGAATCTCGCATCTTTGTTGTTCATGTGAATCCTGATTCGGGTTTAAACATATTCTCTGTCGCCAAGTCTCTTGGAATGATGGGAAGTGGCTATGTCTGGATCACCACTGATTGGCTTCTTACAGCTTTGGATTCCATGGAACCGTTGGATGCCAAAACTATGGGTCTCTTGCAAGGAGTGGTTGCCTTTCGCCATTACACACCTGAGAGTGAAAAGAAGAGAACGTTTAAAGAAAAATGGGAAAACTTTAGATCCAAAAAGAGGTCAAGAAGTGATGATGGCTTCAATTCTTATGCGCTGTATGCTTATGATTCTGTTTGGTTAGTAGCTCGTGCTCTCGATTTTTTCTTCAGCCAAGGCAATACAGTGACTTTTTCTCATGATCCGAATCTGAGTAATACCAACGATAGTAACATTAAGCTATCAGCACTTGACGTTTTCAATGAAGGGGAAAGGTTTTTACAGGCCATTCTTGAGATAAATTATACAGGTCTGACCGGAAAAATTGAGTTTGATTCAGAGAAAGACCGGATGAATCCAGCTTACGATATTCTAAACATAAAAAGTACAGGCCCACAGAGGGTCGGGTACTGGTCGAATTATACAGGTTTCTCAGTTGTGCCTCCGGAGACATTATACTCTAAGCCTTCAAACACATCAGCAAAAAACCAACGCCTCAATGAGATCATATGGCCTGGGGAAGTAAGTAAGCCACCTCGGGGTTGGGTTTTCCCTGACAATGGAAAGCCTCTCAAAATCGGGGTGCCTAACCGTGTGAGCTACAAAAACTATGTTTCTAAGGATAAGAACCCACTTGGTGTTAAAGGCTATTGCATCGACATCTTTGAAGCTGCGATTCAATTGCTTCCGTATCCCGTTCCACGTACTTATATACTATATGGGGATGGGAAGAAAAATCCTTCATATGACAACCTCATAAGTGAAGTTGCTGGAAATGTGAGTCTTACTTCTTTCATTTTAGTCAATCAATTACATGACACAGTATACTAATCTGTCTACTGTTTTTATGTTTTATGTCTCTAGAGTTTCGATGTAGCTGTTGGGGATGTTACAATCATTACAAACAGAACCAAGTTTGTAGATTTCACGCAGCCATTTATGGAATCAGGGCTTGTGGTGGTAGCTCCAGTGAAAGGGGCCAAGTCTAGTCCTTGGTCGTTCTTGAAGCCTTTCACCATAGAGATGTGGGCTGTTACGGGCGCCCTTTTTCTCTTTGTTGGAGCCGTTATTTGGATTCTTGAACACCGTTTTAACGAAGAATTTCGCGGACCTCCTAGGCGTCAAATCATTACCGTCTTCTGGTTAGTACCGTATTATTAGTAGATTGACGCAAAACTCATATTTATAAGTTTAACTTTAGGCGCTAAAGGTTTGCTTTGCCCCTTTCTTTCTGGTCTTCAACATTGCAGGTTTAGCTTCTCAACAATGTTCTTCTCTCACAGTATGTACACAATTACATATAGGATCCTGAGACATCTAAAATACAAAATTCTCGGGGTTCTTTTTTTTTTTTTTCCAAGCTCTCAAGTTATTTATCCTTCTTCCTTTATTGATCTCCAGGAGAGAACACAGTGAGCACGCTTGGGAGGTTTGTGCTACTCGTATGGTTATTTGTGGTTCTAATCATCAACTCAAGTTACACTGCGAGTCTCACTTCAATCCTCACCGTTCAACAGCTAACATCTCGGATAGAAGGAATGGACACTCTAATAACAAGCAATGAACCCATCGGAGTCCAAGACGGTAGCTTTGCGTGGAAATATCTGGTCAGTGAACTTAACATAGCTCCATCAAGAATCATTCAGTTGAAAGATGAAGAAGAATATCTCTCTGCCCTTCAACGTGGTCCTAGAGGCGGTGGCGTGGCAGCCATAGTGGACGAGCTTCCTTACATTAAAGCCCTCTTGTCCAACAGCAACTGCAAGTTCCGTACAGTTGGACAGGAATTCACCCGGACAGGCTGGGGATTTGTATGTAAAACCCAACTTCAGTTCCTTTTGGTCGGTCTCTGTTAGAACTTTGCTTATTTGAAACTCAATTCTTGCAGGCGTTTCAGAGAGACTCTCCTCTAGCTGTAGACATGTCGACTGCAATGCTGCAGCTGTCGGAAGAAGGAAAACTCGAGAAAATCCGCCAGAAATGGCTTACCTACGACCACGAATGCACAATGCAGATTTCAGACACAGAAAACTATCAAATATCGGTACAGAGTTTTTGGGGACTCTTCTTAATCTGTGGCATCGTTTGGTTCATTGCACTCACACTCTTCTGCTGGAAAGTGTTCTGGCAATACCATCGGTTAAGACCAGAAGTGATTGATGAAGAAAGGACAAGCGAAGAAGCTGGTTCTTCTAGACCAGGGAGAAGTTTGAGAGCGGCAAGTTTCAAGGATTTGATAAAAGTTGTTGATAAGAGAGAAGCAGAGATCAAAGAGATGCTCAGGGAGAAGAGCAGTAAGAAACTCAAAGCTAGCCAAAGCTCAGCTGATAATTCGCAATCAAAACATTCTGAAACTCCTTAGAGGCGGTTAGATAGAGATAAGCAGAGTTACACAATTTGTTTAAATGACTACAGATGTAAAAGTATAACATTTTACTTAGAAAGGTACATAGATTTATCATAAGGTCTTATAGAAGATGGGGAGATGTGTATTGTACAATACATATCCCAAAGATATTTAAAAAAAATAAATGCAGTTTTTTCCATACCAATCTCACAAGAGGAGCTAAGTGAACTGAATCATGAATTAACAGCACTGTAATTTTAAGAGTCCTCTCCTCTCTCATTGAGTAAAGCCACTTTGTTCATTACGTGTCCATGAGTTCTCTCTATGCAGTCATCTACGGCTGACAAAAAGTTCTAATTTACCACTGAATCGAACCGGAATAAATGGCCGCCTTTAAACCGGTTTGGTTTACTTTAGATTTATATGATGAAGTAGCCCGGCTCTTCTTCTTCTTCTTTTCTTCTTCTCCCTTCTTCGTTTTTCGCGGTCAACGACAGACTAAGCAGAGAAAAAAAAAAATCCATTGAACAAGGAGAAAAATAAAAAAAATGGGAGCATTTTGCAAGGTAATAGATGCTGTTCTCTTCTTGTACTTCGCTCTCATGGCAGTCGCTGCGCCGCTCTTGGACGGCCAAATAAGTCTTCCCGGCGATATCTTCCCGGCGTTTCTCGTCGATCTGAATCGCTGGTACATCGCCGAATTTGGTGATTATCTGTCCTTGGAGAAGCCGCATTTCTTCGTCGGACTCGTCTGGCACGAGCTTCTGATTCTTTGGCCGCTCTCCATTGTCAACGTCTATGCAATTCTCGCCGGGAAATCGTGGTTCGGTACCACATCCTTGGTGTACGGAGCTTCCGTCGTGACTTCAATGGTACATTAGATCTTTAATTTTTCTCTCGATTTGGTTTCTTCTGATATAATGTGTTTGCATTTGTAGATCTGCTGAAAACTGTAGGATATTGCGTATGTTTTTGTATTTTTGATCTAAAAGCTTGAGCTTTGATATGGATCATGAAGAAGAGAACTGATTATTGGATTGATAATGTATAGTCTATTGAAACTGGAACATTACAAAGCAGACTAGTGAGATCTGTATATGCATGCTTGATTCAAGCTATCATTTTGATTTCAATGCATATGTTGTTAATTGCAATTATGGTTCCCCGGATTTACAACATTGTATGTTAGATTAGAGACATGCAACTTTTGAGTTAATGATAATGTTGACGAGTTTCATGGTTATTAGAATTAGAATTAGTTCTCAACTTCTCATACTATTCTGCAATGTGAATCTTTCTGCATTTTTTTGATTTGGAGCTGTTTTGGTATTATACACCTTGTGATTTAGAATTTGATCTTGAGTATGCATTTCTTATTAGGCTGCTATACTGGGAGAGATGATAGGTTCAGGGAAGGCATCTGAGAAATTGTTGATGGTATATGTGCCATTCATGGGTGTTGGTATTCTTGCTCTTCTTCGTGGTCTTCTTTCTCAATCCAACAAAAGTGGTGGAGCTGTTGGCAAGAGACCCGTTGTTCTGGCCAGGAGAAAGCGTGCTTGAGGTTAATGTCTCTTTTGTCTCTGAGGATTTGGATTTTCAACTTTATTATTGAGACCATTTTGAACCTTTCTACCGGATTCGTGTTCTTGTTTGAAATGAAATGAAGATATTTACAACTTACAAGTCACCTCACCGAAAAAAGAAGAAGTTTAAACTGGGTCTTGAAAAATCACAACCTAAGATTGGGTTTCATCAGCTCAGATTTTTGTAGACTGGTTGGGTTTGGCTTAATTGAAAACCATAGCCAACAGTCCATAACTCGTTAAGCTCTTTTGCAAAACAAATAGAGTCTTGGGAAGAAAAGGGGCGAAACTTGGGATATGATCAACCAAACTACAGAAATAGACAACATAAATAATACAAAAGAAATATTCATACTATAGAAGATCTAAAGCCCATACATAAATAAAACCAAACTTGAAACTCCAATAGAGAAAAGGAGTACTCAATAAACTTCATAAAGGTTCAAACAACAACTAGGAAATAAAAAGACTCAGAATGATGTATCAAAAGGTTCCAACACAGACAAGGAAACATAAGACTCAACTGAAATAACAAAAGGTTCCAACAAGAAACAAAAAGACCCAAATGAAATAACAAAGTTCTTGACTCCATCTTGAATGGGTATATTTCAGGGCAAGTCAAATCCCGAACCTCTTAGAAAACCAATCTCTTTGAGGTTCGTTCTTGACTCCTTCCTGTTTGAAGCTCTCAAACTAACTTTAAAAACCGATCTTCAACACAAACACTCTCCCTTTTTCTTCCTCCACTCTTCCCATGAGCTTACTTTCCTGTAAAAAGACAAAACAAAAACTGTCATCAGCACTTTAATTGCCTAGCAAGTATTGGATAAGTTTTAAGTTTGTTTATGAAATGGATTCAATAGATTACCGAATGGAAGTGGTGGTTCAAGGATTCTGATAAGGAAACAATTCTTTGATATTCATCACAGTTGAACGAATCAGATTCTCAACGGTTGCAACAGAGCTAACGCTCAGCTTATCGGTAGGAACTGTTTCAAGCAGCATCTGGTAGGCAACGGTCAGGAGTGATCCTCCTGCGTTTCCTCCAGGCTGAACCGTACCATCGGGGAGGATAGCAAAACCACAAGGAAGGAGAGCCACAGCGTCAGGATCACCCCCTCCATTGAGAACAGCCTCTATTGCTTCCGTTTCAACAGGTGCATAGATCACAAATGAAGCTGTTGGATCAGTAGTAGTCTCTTGAATTACCATCATATTGTTCTGGAAAGTATTTGCATTCTGTAACCAAAACAAACATGGGTCTGTCACATACCAAAAAGATAAAAGAATGCATTTCCAAAAACACTAGTTAGCTCTTTACCCGGAGTAAAGATGCACAGTTCCTACTGTCTCTCCCATTTGCAATCTCTACTATCTTCTGAGCATTCCCTCCAGTAAAAAGAACATCCCACTGCAGAGACAAATCTCAAAAACATGTTATATAAGGAAGTCATAGACAAAAATCAAGTCTTGTCCTAGACAAATATACCTGAGGTCGATTCTGTTCATTTCTGAGGAAGTCAAAAACAGTCTTAGGAGGAACAGGAACCCAAAACGAAGAGGCTGCAGCGAGAACAGAACCGGGAGGCCTTCCTGGATCATTCATGTTCTTCATTGTCATCACTCTGATATCATCTCCTGCAACACCAGAAAACGTCGTACCCATCGAATTTTTCAGCCCAATAAAGAAGCCTCTCGCGATCCGCTCAACTAGTTGCAGAATGCTCTTCTTTCCATGGTCCGTCAGCACTACAACAATCACAAAACTCTCATAATGGTTAATAAATAAAAAACAAAAACACATTATTGAGAGTATTGAAATAAATACCTAAGTGATCAGCAGAATCCACGGATTGAAATTTTGTAGTGATGATGCTAGCTATCCTCTCGCACTGGCGTTCCATTGTTGCAACCCAGCGGTTAGCAGCAAAAGCTTGACCAGAACGGATGAAGTGCTTGAACATGTTTTGCTCTGCGTCTCTGTCATCTACTTCCACGTTTTCAACCCATGTAACCTTTTTTTTCCAATTACCAGCAAAAACAATCATTAATATATGAACCATACACTTATTATATAACCATAATGAGACAATAAGTTATACCTTGGAGTAGCCATTAGGAATTTCTTGAATCAAGCAACCAGAAGGTCGGCGGCGACATCTCAGGTGGATATTTGGAAGGAAATGGTCGATGGAAAAATCCACCACCGCCCACAAATTATCTCCTTGCTGTTTACAGTAGCGGGCGAAGTAGCTTTGACGGGTTGAGACTAGCGGCGAAAACACTTGGTACTCAGCACTCATCTATGAATAAATAACAACATTCGTTATGTTATATCAAATATATATATGAATACTTCAGTTTTGTTTTATAAATATACTAAAAAGATAAATATATATAGGAGAATTACGATTTGGAGAACTCCATTGTAGCTTCCAGAAACATCAGTGGGAATTTGCTCATGAGTTATGGCTCTATTAATCATTCCGACAAACATTGTTGACCACATATCCTGCCAATACAAAATCATTAAACAAACACACATAATATATACAAATGATTAAACTAAAATTCGTAATTTAACTATATTTAAATATAATTTACCGAATCCATGAGCATCTCAACAATGTTAATAGGAATCATTGGCACGAGCCCTGTAACCCTGGATGCCTCGGTTCTATACCCGCTCACTTTAGGACCGAGACCCTTCTGAAACATCCTTGTGTATTCATCCAAGTCCAAATGCAAGCTAGTGCCATTAACTCCTCCCGTCCACAGTGGTTCAGCTACTTGAGCCATCAACATTAGCTCATTCATGGCTCTTACTGCCAGCTCTATGATCATTGGCTTATCAGCCTCTGCCGGCCCAGTGATGATTTCCATCGAAAGGTTTCCGTCACTTCCATACAAATCTCTTTGAGTTGTTGATGAAGATGATCCTGCCTCGAACTCGAAAGGTCGATGAGGAGGAAGAGGAGGAAGAGAAGGAAGAGAAGGAAGTGGAGGAAGAGGAGTAGGAGGAGAGATAGCCTTAGTCATCGTCACCTGTTTGTTGGCAAAGCTTGACGCCAGAGCAGACAATTGATTGATCTGTACGTAGAAACACCAAAGAAAAAAATACAAGTTGTTAATTTTAATAATTTTCAAATGCAATATAAGATAATACGTATGCTTCGTTTGTTATATAGTCTAGTGTTCACATGAATCTAGTACGTACCTCTTCCTGTAGCCGAGCGTTTTGGTTGCGAAGATGATGCTCTTCGAAGCACATGTCGCCAATTGCAGTTGGGCCTCCACACTTAGGGCATACGGCTATAAGAACAGCTTCTCGGAGCCCTATGTTTTGATCTCTAAGGTTGTTGTTCGATTTCCGAAGTTCTGTGTTCTCAATACGTTCTTGATGATTCTGCAAAGCAACAAATCAAAGGTTCTTTATTAAATTAAAAAAAAAACATAAAAATTAACAAAACTAAGTCACTATCATTCAGGTTCTCATATTTTTCTTTTTTGTTGATGATTTTTAGATAATTTCTTTTTTCCCGTAAATACTTATCAGAGAAGAAATAATGTTCTCTTATATGTATACGAAATAAGATAAACCTAAAAACTTAAGATGTATATGCGGAATACACAATTGAATTACCAACTCATGTCAAGTATATGTGAGATGGTAACAAAGGTAATAAATATGTATATACCTTTATTTGGGTGCGTTTGTTCTGGAACCAGAATTTGATCTGAGCAGGAGTTAAATCCAATTGATAGGCAAGTTCTCTCCTTTGTTTTTCATCTGGGTGAGGACACTCTTTGTAGAAACTATTCAACACAATTCCAAAAAAAACAAACAAATAGTGAGATATGAAATGATTAAATATAGTATCTAACATTTATATTATAAGTTGATAACTAAAGAAACTTACGTATCCATCCCCTTAATCTGAAATGGGCTGTGACGATTGTATCTTTTTTTCTTACGTGGAGGACTTTCATTGCTTCCCCTTGCTTCTTCACGATCGTGACGTTCAGTATTCACATCGTCCATTTCTTGAGCTCCAACTCCACCAGCTCCTCCAACACCAGCTCCTTCAGCATCAGCTCCAACACCACCAGCTCCTTCAGCATCAGCTCCAACACCAGCAGCTCCTTCAACACCAGCTCCTCCAACATTAGCTCCTTCAGCATCAGCTCCTCCAACATGATCAGCTCCACCATTTGTGTTGTTAAGTCCAGCATCAGTGTACATGTTCATGTCATTGTTTTCGTTGTTCATGTTTGACTCGGACATTCTTGCTATCTTTCGATTTTTGGAAGATCTGAGAGTTAGAAATAAATAAAATATTAAATAAAAAAGGAAAATGAGTTAGTACGTATATACTAGAGGTAGAGGGATATAAAATAATAAGAAAATAGATCTAGAAATTAGGGTTAGTGGTAAAAGGTTTTTTTTTTTGGGTCACCTAGACCGTGGTAAAAGGTTTCTTTTATGTTTTTCCATTGTTCTTTGAGTACAAAGAAATTTAAATTAAAAAAAAAAGCAAAAAAAGAATCCAAAAGGATTTTTTTCCAAGATTGGAATATTTTCTTTTCTTTTTTGGATTTACACATAGTCTACACGCACACACACATACTCTCTTTCACTAAATTCCAATATATATATATATATATATATATATATATATATATAAAATATTAAATTTAAAAAAAGT